TGACCACAGAATCGGCAGTCATAAATGCAGGCCGGTTGCAGAGTGCCCAAAATGTGATCGCGTGATTTGCAGGTTAGGAGAGGAGACTTTGAAATACAAATGGTAATTGCCTCTTTTTTGAGTCCATTTTACTTTTAAATGTTCACTAAGGGACCAGTCGTAAATTGAGGACTATCTGTATTTAGAATTCTATGTCCAATATGAATCATCATCATCATCATATTTCAAATGACCCCATAATCCCTTGCAGGGTGATTAAACTAAATAGAGCCAAGTGATTACTGGCCGGATACCCTTCCTATCATCAATGTGGAATTATACTCAGCAGATATATCCTCATGGTGCCCAGAAAGAGAAATAGCTATCTCTACCTAGGATCGAACTCACAGCCTCCTGATTGTGAGGTAAGAGCTCCACCTCTAGGCCATTGCACCAGTCTCTATATCCAATATGAATGAAGATCTGAAACAGTGATCCATAGAATTTCTCAGATATAAACCAGCCTACTTCAGTTTTTTTCTTGCCCAGCAGGTATCGCAAAGAAAGAATGCAGTTTTCTATCAGAGCAAATGGATTAGCTAACTAAGAATGGATACATTCATAGTACCTGAAGGAGGCAATGCTGTGTCATGGCTCGGTAACAGGCTCTATAACTCTTCATTGTGGGCTTGTCTCCTAAGCAGTATCCCCATTTCTTCACCATGTGAAACCGCTTGGCATGCCAGATGTGTGTTTCCAGCCAAATGTTCTTCCTTTGCCTGCGATTGAACTCCGCCACCAAGTTTATATGACGGCGCCTGGCTTTACGGCACTTGCTTTTTGAAAGTGCTTTTTTCTGATGTTCAGGTTTCTCTGCCTATGTTGTTGAAGCAAGGAATAACATCATTCACTACACTGTGTCAGGATTCCAGCAATCGCTCTAATTAAATCATGATTCTGGAGCCAAACTTCAAAAAACTTCAAAAGGTTCATTAGAGGCGACATACTGGCACTGCCCTGTATGAAGCTGGCATATATAATTTACAGTCACCTGTGACCCTATTTTCCCCCTTCCCCCCTGGGTGTCTCATAAACCAGATTCCTCAACTGAGCCCGTTCACAGTTCATTCACGTTCATTCACGTTCTCCAATTAAATATATTCCAGGGCAAAAGCTCTGGTATTTTAGTTACAATCTTTTAAAGATAAGAGTTGGAATGTACTTTCGCTTTCAACTGCTCTTCCAGATTTCCTCCCCCGCTCCCTTTGATGGCAACTACTAAAACAGGCATAGGAATGTTTTATGAGTTGACACACTATTAAATTCAGATAACCTGTGAATTGTGATCTGGGAAGGAACGGGAAGAAGACATAGTGACCCAAAGATCCAAACGGATTATCTTGGGGGGAAAAAATCTCAAGAATCACCAGCAAAAAATAAGAGGTGGGAGATGGGGGAAATATCTGAATATTCCACAGAGGCCTGTCATAACACTTTATTGGGGTTAGGAATTCTGTAATTTAAAAAAAAAGAAATCTCACATTTTCTTCTAGACACAAACTTTGCAAACCAGGGTGATTCTATATATCAAGAAATCAACTTCCATAATTCTAAACATGGCCATGTTGGCTGGAGACTGCTAGCGACTGAAGTCCCATATATGTGGAGGACATCTAGATCAGTGCTTGTAACACTTGGCAGCTTTAAGCTGTGAGGACTTCAACTCCCAAAGTTCCCTAGTCAGATTGCTAGTGTGCATAGGTTACCTAGCACGCAAAGTATTAAGAAAGCTAAAGTGGGTAAGGAAGACAAAGAAACTCACTTCTATTCTGGCAAGTTCACGGAGACGTCGTGGCAAACGTTTAATATTATGACTCATAGCCCGCCTCCTCATATGTCTAGGCAAGGACTGAAACACCAAAGTATTGGACGACTTCTGTTTAACAGCCTTCAACATAGCCTTAATTTCAGCAGCTCGAGCTTGTACAAAAGGAGACACTGAAAAAAGGATATTTTGCTTAAAAATGCAGTTTGACAAACAGACAGTAATCTGTATTCTGAAGCAGATTTTCCCAAGAAAAAAGATCATCTGACCTACCCATTCCTTCATCTTTATTTCTGGTTTTTGGTTATTTACAATTTAACATAGCTGATTTAAGCAGCTGCTAATTCAATGCCAATGTTTGCTTATGCTCTGGGGGAAAAATTGCTATTTACATAATTTAAGAATCAGTTTACTGAAGAATATAGAATCTAGCAAACTACATTGCTTGGTCAAAACTAGAAACAAAACTTCCAATATTCTTTTTTGTGGCCCTCCTAAAGATGAGCTCAAGATTTGCTCTGGATAATTTTACGGTTCGACACAAAGGAAAGTCTACAGATAAAGTACGGTAGGGGAGCGGAGACAAAACTCACAGCAAAGTCTAAGATCAGTTCAGACCAGATTAAGGGACTGTTCTTGCCTATTTGATAGCATCTAAACGTAGCATTCCACAGATGGCTGGCTATTCTTGGATACTCACCAGTTATGCATTTTGGCATTTCATGGGAAACTTTTTGATAGAAGCCTTGTTGTAAAGTTTCAAAGTGCAACTCTGTTGATAAATCAGGGGAAAGTTTTATATTATAAAATGATTGAAATATAAGGAGTGTACATAAAAATTTGGCGGCGAATGTCTATTTGATAAATTAAGTATATAAAAGTATATATTCTGTCATTTTCTAAAAAGATTTGAGATTATTTATACTTCAGTGTGTTGCTACAGTACAGAATATATCTGTGTGATAATACCCTTTACATGCAAGTTATGTTTATCAGCACTGATCAAATATTAGGCTTATCTCTATGGTGTAGTAACTATTAGAACCAGTTTGGAATAGTGGTTAAAGTACCAATCTAGAAATTGGAAACTGTGATTCTAGTTCTAACTTAGGCTCAAAGCAAGATGGGTGAGCTTGACCAGGCACTTTCTCTAACTTTCAAGCAGTGGCAAACCACTTCCAAATTTTGACTGATCTAAAAAGCTAAGCAGCAAAGTACTTAGATGAGAGACCCTTAAAGTATTCTAAGGCTGTAGATTAGACTGGAAACAAACAAGCAAAAATATCCTGGAAGGAGACAATGGCAAATCACTAGAAACCAGGAGACCTAAGTTCCAGTCCACCCTTACGCTCAAAGCTGGCTGGGTGATTTTGGGTCAGTTATTCTCTTTCAGTTCAGCCGGACTCATTGGATTCTTGTTGTGGGAAAACAGGAAGTAGGAGCATTATGTGTCACCTTGAGTTGTACAAAATAAAGGTATAAATCAAATCAAACCAATCAATCAATGAACTCCCAGGAACTCTATATAAATTTAGGAAAATCACTGTTTGTTCTTAGTTTTAAAAATAACTTGAAAATGGAAAGAATGCTAAGTGCCTCGGTCTTTATATTCTACCTGCAATTCCAAGACTATAAGCTGGACAGTGAAGTTGAATGACAAGCAATAATAATGATGATAATATTCTCTAATGGCCACTAACAGACTTCTTGACAAAGTTCTTACATTTATTTTAAGAAGTCCAACACTGTTCAGAGATTTAGCTACTAAACGTAACAAATACCTTGTTTCTTCCGCTGAGGAGTTCTTTCACCTCCATTCCAAAAATATGCTTCACTGTGACTTGACCCAGCATCAAAAGGACAGGTCACACTAGCAGGTTGATTCTTCATTTTCTTGCCCCTTCTTTTTTGTTTTGCATTTGACATTTCTGCAGTAAAAAATGCCGCATAATAAAATAGCCTTTATCTCCAGTGGTTTGAAAAACACAATAGAAGTCATAAGACACATGCAGTGTTTTAAAGCTGTTCATTGTTTACATTTTCAACATTCTTTACTAAAAGAGCAACTTTAAAAAACCTATTACAGAATTAACAGTAACAACCTATCCCCAAAACTGAATGGCATCACGACACGAATGTGCAAACATAATAAAATTAATTATGCATATATGTAAAGTGCCTACATTGCTTCCTTTTCACATCTCTGGAAGCATTTAGAAATGTTTATCCAAAAATATAAAATTTAAACAAATGAGCGGTGAATGATAACTCTTGCAGTTACGTGCACTGAAAAATCTTTTGCATTTACATGCGTTCCCCTCAAGCTGCAGTGCAATATGTCAGCATCTGTCACGGTGATGCTGCGCAAAAGCTGCTGCTGGACTTTTGCTGCTTTGGTACCGGCATAGTATAAGTAATGCTAAAGAAGAAGACACAACAGGAAGGATTTTGCTAATCACCAGAACCAGTGCTGAAAAACGGGGCGTAGAGCATCCTTTCACTAACATTTAAATTTCTGCAGCCTCGCTATGTACCAAACAGAACACTAGCAGGATTTTAATGAAGGTATTTTCTACCAAAAAACCATAAACCCGGAAGAAAATGGACCCGCCCCAAGGAACATTATTACACAGGATAATGACATAATTGAAACCGGGCATCCATTCATGAACGTAAGCAAGCCCCAAAGACCACTGCTGAACCCACTTCTCCCTCGCACAGGGCAGTTCAGGGGTAAAGAGTGATGCGCCCTCCCAGCCACACAATGTTTTTCGATGGCGGACATTCAGCAAGCAAGCCTCCATTCCTCGCACAAGTTCTTCAAGTGCAGAGCCAACCTTCCCTCTTCTTCAACCCGCCCCACCTATTTTTGCCAATCCGGGGGGCCGGGGGGGGGGGCAAAGAGCCTCTCACCTACCGCATCCTCATCGCACGCGGCTTCCAGCCCGGACAGGAAGAAGGCGGGGTCGCTACTCCCTTGGGATCCGCTTCTCTCTTTCCGCCAATCCCCCAAAGGCAGCAACCCTCGAGACCAGCTCCTGCAACGCCTCTTACCTTGAAGACCACATTCCCCAGAATCCTTCGCGTCATCTACGGTGGGCGGAGAAGGTCCTTAAAAAAAAAAAAAGAGCTCTTGGGAAAAACAGCGCGCGCTTTTTGGACCTGTCGCCCGAGGGGGCGGCGTCGCCGAGGGAGGCGGGGCAGGGTTGAGTTTCTGGTGCGGGTAAAAGTTCAGAGGCAGCGAAGCGTTGGCTTTGTTGGCTTGGCAGTTGCCGAGGTAGGGTTTGGTCCGCTCCCTTCTGCCGCTATGGCTGCGTTAATGAAGAAAATCATCAGTACTGCAAGGGCTCCCGCTGCTATGGGTCCCTACAGGTAAGGGGGGGAAATGAAGAATGCTTTTTGACACAGCTTTAACCTGTGGAACTCGCCGCCACTAGATGTGACCTCTGCCCAGTTGAATCGGTTCCAGCGGGACAGCACGGCTTACAACAGCTTCTGCACAGGGAGGAATGTCAAATGAGCTGGAGTTTCTTCCCCAACATGGGAAGAAAGTGAACATGTTGCAATCTATAATTACTTGATTTGGCAACTCCAGCTGTTTTACTGAAATGCAGTAATGAAAGACATTTAAAAGCATGTAGCCTTAAAACTAGTGCCTTGATGCAGATGCTCAAAGACATTGCAGCATCTGAAATATGTCTAGATTTAATATAGTAAAAAAAAGGAATAAGACGAATGGGTTTGCTGTTGCATAGGTACAAAACATATAAGTAATGGATAAGGTGCTTATTAAGCATATAATCATCAAAGAATGTTTAAAAAGCCTCTTGAAGACTTTCCAGGAGTCTGTTTTCTGTTTTTTTTCTGAGGGGCAATACCAAATTGTTTGGAGCAAAATCCACTGGACTCAATGAAATTTACATTTGAATAAATTCCTCTGAAAGAACAGCTACTGAAGCCAAAGCTCAAACACTTTGGCCACTTAATAAGAAAAGATTCATTTGAAAAGACCTTGATGTTGGGAAAGATGGAAGGCAAAAGGAGAAGGAGACAGCAGGGGATGAGATGGTTAGATAGTGTCATTGATGCAATAAACATGAATTTGGGCAGGGCAAGGGAGGCAGGGAAGGATGGGGGGGGCTGGTGTGCTATGGCCCATGGGGTTATGAAGAATTGGACACAACCTAATGACCAAACAAGACCAGCCTTGCACTTATTTCGAGCACATCCCAAAGACTGCAATCTTTGATCTGAGAGAAGCTGAACTGAACGTAGTAAATTTTTATTTTTGAGCAGATTTATAGGAATGCTCTATCAATGTTGCTAGGAATGCCACAAAACATGAGTATTGTTACATTTTAAATTGTGATATATTTTTGTCCTATAACCTCAATGTAGCATTGTAGATTCTTTAAGGCAGAGGCCCCTAACCTTTTGGCACTAGGGACCGGTTCCGTGGAGAAAGGTTTTTCCACGGACCAAAGGGGGCGTGGTCTTGTGTGCTGCCTGCATCCCATGGATGGGGCTTCGCTTGTTTGTGCTGCCTGGTTGCTGGCATGCCATGGACCAGTAGAGGTCCACGGACCGGGAATTGGGGACCCCTGCTTTAAGATATCTCTGCTGACCAGGTACAAGGGTTTACTTACTTAGGGTTTTGGAAGCTTTGCTACACTTTTGTTATTCTTGTTAAATGGTTCAGTCAGAAAACTCTTATCTAAGTCACAATATTACAAAAAAAAAACCTCTGTGATTTATTTTTTTTACATTTTCATTATCTCTTACTTTGTATTTTTATGAAATAATTATTGAGTTATATAGAAAGTCAGCACCCACCCACCCTCCTAGAGAATGAAATATTTTGGGGAATATTAAAAGGGCAAGATAGAATATTTCCCCTGAAGGAAAAATGTAAAAAAATAAACAAATAAAGGAGGCAGAAACCAGCACCAGTGTTCCTGCCCCAAGCAGAAACTGAGGAGGCAGTTTTAGAAATGCAGATTTGGTAATCCATTCAGAAAGACTGAGTCAAATGGAAACTCCAGATAAGCAATTAAGGTGGACAAGATTAACTCAGACAAACACCTAGGATTTGCATTTCCTCTTCTGCCTATAGAGCCAGCCATGACTCCATAGAAATCTGACAACAATCATTAGAATATTAAAGGACATGTTCTTGCACAGGAAGATCAAATACAAAGCCCAAAGAAGGTATAAAAATCCGCCCACTCTCAATTCCATTTGCTCAGCTGTCCCAGAACTGCAAGCTGTGGTTCTCTTCATCAATAAACTTTCTTTCCAATCAGCCTCCATATTGTTTCCAGCACCTTTCTCCTGGCTTGGAACTGATGGGTTTTTCCTTCCCTACAGTTGCTCAACTGACATAGTTAATGAATACTGCAAAGTTAAAGATTGCTACTCCTGTTTGCTTGAATTCAGATTCCTCAGGGTCTTGTTTTTTGAAGTGTGCAAATTAAAACTTGTAAAACAATACTGTGCCTATTTTATTTTCATGTTTACTAAAATAATTCTAATACTATATGATTATTTTTGTGGGTTTTTTAGTTCCCCAAATCAATGTATTGTACAGTAAAACTATGCTTAGTTCCAAGGAAACCTTTAATTCATTTTATATAAAAAATAGAACTCTTAGCAATATCCTCTTTTATGCAAAATTAAGGATTTGCATAGCAGCACTGAATGAGCTTAAATACTTGGTCTGCCAATTGGATAATAGGACTTACAAACTATTCAGATTAGTAGGAAGCAGCTTTGCAAATGCACTGTATTTCACTAGGGATTCACTTTACTTTTTTCCATTGGTTGACTACTACCGTATGTAAAGAGATTCAGACAAAATTCATTATTATTGTAGCAAATAATAGCAAACATGAATCAGCTATGCAATAATTATAAATCTAGTCTGGAATATAGTAAATACGATAGTTATAGCTTTTTGCCACTTTTGTTTTTGGTTCTAAAATATTTTAAATATTTGTTCAAATAACTAATAAAATGCACGTTCATAGCATTTTTTTCCTTCCGCAATATTTGCTTTGGGATGAGATTCCAAACTGAGTCTCATCCAAAAATCTTTTTCCTGCTCAAGAATGCCCAAATTCATGCTTGGTTTCTTTATTTCTAACCTTTTCAGTATGTGTGAATTAATCACTACTGACAAAATTCTTAAAATTGTAGAAAATTGTACAAGCAGATGTTGAAAGGCTGGAAAATGCCTTTCTTCTGAGGGTTCGGTTTTCCTGCTGGGAGTACTCCAGTGCAAGGATTCAGACAACTACTTGGAAGCCGGTTCTTTTTATTTTTCAGGAAGACGAGAGATAGCAAGAAGTCTGCGTTCCTGGAGCTAGCTCTCTTTGTATAATAAAAACCCTGATTTTTATACCTTTTTTCTCCTTTTGTGTGTGAGTGCTTGTGATTGTATTTCTTAATGTTTTAAATCCTGTCAGGGGTTGTCTTCATTTCCGCCGGAGGGTAAACTCCGTGGGGTGCAGAAGGCAAACTTTGCAGGGTAGTTTGATTGGATTATCAGTTTCCTAATGTTTTCTTATTTTTGTTTTGTGGCAATCTCCTGTCTGCTATGGAATTTATTTCGTGTCTTTTGTCTGTTTGTTTAGCTGATTTGGCATGTCTTGTGTTTGTAAGGGTTTTCTTTTCTTGTTTCCTTAGTTTTCTTAATTACTTAGCTTTTGTCTAGGGGGCTTCTTTCAATACCTTTTATTAAATCTCTTTTCCTATGCAAGTTTGTTTTATGGCTGGCCTGATGTTCCCTTTGGGCTTTTCCTGCTTGGTTGTCACCACTGTCCTCATGAAGTTCCCTTTCCACAATCCTTCATTTTTTATTTTTTATTTAGAGTGTGGTCTCTGATTGAATGTCTGGGTATACTTGGTATTGTGATCAATCTGGATCATTATCATGGCTGCCTGTCTCCCCTTTAATTTTCTCTTCTGAGAGGGAATACAGGCCTTTAGGCAGCTAAGGCAGGGCGGTATGCATCGACAGAGGCAACACATGAGGGCTCCAAAGACACAAATGGTGACTGTGGTTGTTATAAGGATTTTGAGCCAATGGAAATCTGGCATCCATGAGAAGAGCCATGAAAAGTCCAGGAATGATTGCTCCTGACCAATATTCTGAGATAGCTCTTTCAGGTGGTGGATGTCCCTCCCTACGAGTTCTGAGGTTTCGTTCAGATTGAAGCAGCACATCCCTTTGAATGTTTCGCAGCCATAGTTATGCTTCAAGAGAAGGAAGTCTATTGCTGCCCTATTCTCCAAGGTGGCTTCTCTGACCTCCCTCAGTTCTCTGTTAAGGGCATCCAGGGCATGGGAGGTCGAGTTCAAGCTTTTTGCCAGGGTACATGCTAGTCTATTCAAATTTTTAGAATTTCGCACTGCCAATCCAGGTACCCCTACCAGGGATATTGCCAATGAGATGTATTCTGTTTTTGTGGGAAGGGAGACTTTGGAATCACAGTCTGAGTCTAGGGTTTGGAAGGCTCTCCTGTGTCGTCTCTGTAAGGATGGCATAAGCATGGTTAACCTTCCCAAGGTGCAGGGGCCATTTGTGGCATTTGCAGGATGGTATGAGTAGGCTTTTAAGCCACAAAGAAAAAACCATCCTGGTGGGAACTTCAGGTAACTATATGAAAATGATATGGTCTCTGTATAGTTGCATTTTAGTTCTGTGTTGCTAAGACTGGTGCATTCTGTGACCCTAGGTGAGCTGCACCCAGTGACATTATGATTTCCCTCCTGCTAAGCAAAAGTTAGTGGTGTTGAGTATTTCTCTTGCTAAATATTCCCATATGTTTCCTTTCTCTGGGATAAGCTTTGGTTCCAGGAACGCAGTTGTTTGTGTTACAAATGTTACAATTGTTACAGATAATAACATAGTATATATTTCATTTCATGTTCCCCATTGCTAGATTCCTTTTCTTCCCTTTCTCCCCCCCTCCTTTTTTTTTTAATAGCAATGTAAAAAAAATGTAAAAGGTCAAGTATCAAAAAATTATGAGAAAGGTATGGTTAAAGTCCTTTTTGTTAAAAAAACAATGAAAAAAGGTTTAAAAAAGAAAAAAATTGAGAAGGTGAGAGAAAAAATAAAAAAGAATAGTTTATAACTCAGCACCTAGGAGTCCAGTTTTGTGTAATGCAATGTTTGCACTTGGTTCCTCACAGTGGTGTGGTTCAACGGTGTTGAAGAATGCTGCAAGCGTCCATTGATCTGTGTCCCAATCTTTCTTTGAGTTTGATGGGTGGAATTGATTGTGGTGGAGTTTGGCTATGGTCTATGACTGCTGGCTTTGCATGTGTCCAATGTAGCCAAGAGTCTTGTTCTGCAACCTTTATGGCAGTGTGTGTAGTCAGTAAAACTTGGTAGGGTCCTTTCCACCTGGGTTGTAGAGGGGAGGTTCTGGTGAAGAGCTTGATCCACACCTAATCTCCTGGCTCATAAGGATGCAGGGCTTCTTCCAGGGGTAAGGTCTGTGTCAGCGCACTCTGGGTCCAGAGGGTCTGTAGTCTCTTTTGCAGGGCTGTAAGATAAGAAGAGAGAACCCTATCCCCCCTATCTAAGCAAAGGGAATGAGGATCTAGGCTTTGTAGGGTATGGGGGGGGTGACCAAAAAGGATCTCAAAGGGGGGAAATACCTATATCTTGTCTTGGTCTGGTTCTGATATAAAAGAGGGCAATTGGGAGCACTTGTGGCCAGGAGAGGTGTGTCTCCTTTAAGTAGTCCCACTTCTGATGCATCCCAGCCCCATAAGGAGGGTGGCAGGCTTTTTAAAATCTTCATGAAGCCCTGTGTTGCTGGTTATCAGCCTGATTGTCTTGTGTGTGCCTTTTCCTGGGATTTCCAATTACAGCCCCTGTTTGCCTCATGTTATGGTAGCTCCCATTTTACATAGGAGATCCCTTCCTAGTAGAGACAGTGGGGACTGGGGGCAAATAGTAAATGCATGGTCTACTGTGAAAGGTCCTAGTTCTACTGGTACGTTGTGGGTAAGTTTTACAGGGATTATTTCTCCCACTCCCATTATGCTATCCTGAGCCCCTTCAGCCACTAAAGCTTTATATGGTAGTTCAGTAATGAGGAGGTGGCTCCAGTATCAACTAAGCAATTGTATTTCTTTTCTCCTATAAGAATGGTGACAATGGGTTCCCCTTCTGGGCCGTTTTTTAAAGGGATAACTAGTCCATTAAAGGTAGCCATGAATTCAGTGCTTTCATTGTCATGCTCTAGTCAAGAAAGGGGTAAATCATGTTCTCTTCTTTGCTCCCATTGATGTCTATTGTTATTATTTATTGGAGGAAAGGGAGCGCTGGGTGGTGCCTGGTGACTGAAACTTTGTTGCTCAGTGTAATGGACTGGATTATTGCCTGGCCTCATGTTCCTAGGTGGTGGGTGATACCGGTTGCAGGAGGGGGGGTGTTGCCTGCATTGCCTGATGAAATGACCTTCCTGTCTGCACCTATAACAATGCTGATATTTGCCTTGCGACCATCCTGCTTTATCGCAATGCCAGCATTTATTTGAATTATAGGGGGTTTTACCTGGCGTTTGTCTGGCGTCATGTTTCATTACAGCAAACATTTTTTAAGTCTTCCTGTCTTTCTATTCGTCTCTTTCTATCTTTCTCTTCCTCTTTCAGCTTGTCTCTTTGATCATAGACAAAGTTAGCAATTCTGCGCAACTCTGCTATGTCTAAGGTTGGCCAGTTAGAGACAAAACGGTGGAAATGTTCTTTAATATCTAAGGTGGACTGATCCACGAAGGCTGAAGCTAAAATCCTTTGGTCCTTCAGGCAGCTAAGGTCTAGGTGGGCATATGTAATAGCTGCTTCTGTCAGGCGGACCCAAAAGGCATCAGGGTTTTCCTTTTCCCTTTGTGTTGTTTTTTTTTTTTTAAATTCAGACTAGTTTAAAGGGTTTTTTTTTCTTTTTTCTTATTTCCTCTAGAGCTTCTAGTAAATTATCTTTTGCTCTAGTGTTCATCCCATTGATTGGTATCATTATAGTCCCGGTCAGGGTGATGTACTGGCCATGCGATGTGGGCTGGGGCTGCCTGACCAGGGATAGTTGGTGGTTTGGCTATTTGGTCTGTTTTTGTTTTTTCCCCCCAAACAGTTTTAATAGTTCATCTTTCATTAGAAAGACTTGTAACAGCTGAGTCATGTTACCCCAGGATGGATTATGGCTGTCTATGATAGATTTCAGGGTTTTAATAACTGTTTGAGGATCAGCCCTGAAAGCTGGGGTATCCTTTTTTTCAGATAACTAGGTCAGGGGCAGAGAAGGGGGTGTGGGTAAAAACATATTCTAGTTGTCCCCTATTTCTGCCTGGCACTGGCTTGTTTAAAAGGGGAGCCATAATCCGTGCCTCAGTATTCCCTTCCCTGAAATGGGTTTCAGGCTTTTCCTTATTATTATTTTTTCCTTGGTCAGGTCTTTGGTCCTAACAATTTCAGCCCAGCAGTACCAATAGGGTATTTGGCTGGGCTTAATGCATGTTCTAAGTGCTTTCAGGATTTTATAATCTAAAGTACCGCTATCAGGCCAAATTTGTCTACCCGTGTCATCTCGCAATAAAGCCCATTTTTTTTGCAAATTCTTTTTGCATCTTTTTTATTCATTCCAGGCAGGACAGGCACTAACCTTTCGTCCCAAGCCTCAAGTAATCCAAGGGGGTCTCTTCCACTGCCCTCGAGCTACAACTTCCCATATTCCCTACCTGATGTGGGGATTACTTTGGTTTAGCCGGGCTACCGCCGTCAGTTTTCAGACAAAAAAGGTCTGGAAAGGACTCCGGTTTCCCTACACACGGAGTACGGGCCCCTTTCTCGTAGGGAAACTCCGCCATCAGTTTTAAGACCCCCCCTAAAAAACGGGGATCTTGGAGGACCGTCTGCCCCCTAGCAGCCCGGTACGGGCCCCTCCTAACACTCCGCCGTCAGTTTTCAGATCTCCCTTAAAGGTGGGGATCTGGAAGGACCTGCTCTGCTTTGTAAGGCAAACTATTTCCAATTTTGTTTGCCAGCAGCCGGTACGGGCCCCTTCTAAATGCACAGGGCTTTGCTTGCGAGATGCACCAGGACTATTTATTCTGCTTTCTATTTATTTCCTAACACCAGTTCCTTTCTCAGCCCACTCGGTTTTTCTTACGTCCTTCAGAAGGACTCACACTCTGTGATCACCCCTTGCGTTCCCAAATCCAGCCGGTCACGGCTTGTTGGAGCTAGCAGCAGGCTGGGGTGCGGCTGGTAATCACAGAGGAGGTGAGATCCCACTGTTTCCGCAGAGAAAACCCACAATCACACACCTGGTACACTCACACTTCCATTCCCCTCCCTAGTAAGATTATAAATTTGAAGCGGTACTCACCTGCTTTCAAGCAGCTGTTGAGCAGAAAAGCCCAAGGACTCCCTTTACTACCCTTATGCCTTCTGGGCTGGGTCCGTGGATGTTGTCCCTGGACAAAGAAGGTCCATGCCGGCTGGGTTTGGATCCGCGGGCCCGGTCCGGTGGCAGGGTTGGCTGGAAAACCTTCGTGGTCGCCAATTGTTGAAAGGCTGGAAAATGCCTTTCTTCTGAGGGTTCGGTTTTCCTGCTGGGAGTACTCCAGTGCAAGGATTCAGACAACTACTTGGAAGCCGGTTCTTTTTATTTTTCAGGAAGGCGAGAGATAGCAAGAAGTCTGTGTTCCTGGAGCTAGCTCTTTGTATAATAAAAACCCTGATTTTTATACCTTTTTTCTCCTTTTGTGTGTGAGTGCTTGTGATTGTATTTCTTAATGTTTTAAATCCTGTCAGGGGTTGTCTTCATTTCCGCCGGAGGGTAAACTCCGTGGGGTGCAGAAGGCAAACTTTGCAGGGTAGTTTGATTGGATTATCAGTTTCCTAATGTTTTCTTATTTTTGTTTTGTGGCAATCTCCTGTCTGCTATGGAATTTATTTCGTGTCTTTTGTCTGTTTGTTTAGCTGATTTGGCATGTCTTGTGTTTGTAAGGGTTTTCTTTTCTTGTTTCCTTAGTTTTCTTAATTACTTGGCTTTTGTCTAGGGGGCTTCTTTCAATACCTTTTATTAATCTCTTTTCCTAAGCAAGTTTGTTTTATGGCTGGCCTGATGTTCCCTTTGGGCTTTTCCTGCTTGGGTTTCACCACTGTCCTCATGAAGTTCCCTTTCCACAATGATAAATTATGCTAGTAATTGGTTTACTAAGTAAGAGGACTGGCCTGCTGTTGTTGCATTTTTCAGTCATTTGTACAGATGCTGCCCAGACTTCAAAAGACTACTTGGTGTAAAATATGTGTGAAAAAGAGCTAATCTTTTCTCAAGGCACAGCCTTCAGGAGGGGGCCTGTAAGTAACTTGCCATGTTAGCCATGCAATATGACTAAAACATACTTATAGAATAGCCTATAATTGTTCCAGTTTGGGAGGAGGTTATTAACATCTATTAAGTAATAACTTTGATGCAAGATTTAATATTCTTTGATTCATATTTCTTTTGAACTAAATTCTTGCTGCATAGAAATTGACATTGAACAAACAAAGAAATCTTTATAAGCCAAAAAATTTATTCTTCAGCATTGGACAAATGTACATGTTCAAAGTAAAATCCAAATTGCTTTCTTTGGGTTTCTTCCATGCAATACCTGTGTCCACAGAATGAAAGAAAGTGATGTAAATAAACCAGGCTTCTAAAGGTGGCCTAGCAAGACATTTTGTTACTAGTGATAATATATGAATGTCATATAATATATGAATATAATTATTTATATGAATATATAAATATACATTCAAATAGCAAATCAATCAATTTCTCTTGTTCTCTTTACTGATTCCTATTTTTCCTTCTTTTTACTATCTTAGCCAAGCAGTGTTGGTAGATCGGACCATGTATATCGCAGGGCAGCTTGGTATGGATCCCTCCAGTGGGCAACTTGTTCCAGGAGGTGCAAAGGAACAAGCTCACCAGGTGAAATGTGACCTCTGTCAGCATTCTAGAAAAACCCAATTCCAACAGATAACTCTGAACCAGACATGTTCTCAAAGTTCCCTTTTATTAGAGTAGTAAACTGGCACATCTGGGAAATCCCAAATCTGAAAGTCCCGGGTTTCCCTCCAATAAGTAAAATATTACAAATCCACCTCCTGCTCCCATTATTCCATCACATGCCCCAATCACCATCCGTCCCAACTTGAGACCCAACTCCCCTCTACTCCTCCTCAGCCAGGTGCAGGAACAACATGACCTTGACTCTAAAGAAGAATGATATTCCCCCCTCCCATCTTCCCAGGCTCAAGAATGTGGAAGCTTCCGGTGCTAATATGGCTTCCAAAGCTGACAACCTCACTTATTCTACTAACAAGTCTAATATTACTGTTATGGCTGGTCATGTAGTCAGCAAGGCGTTTAGACTGGATTTAGGATGTGGGATAAGCAGATGATGTTGCTTGATGATGATGATTAATGTAACATTTGTTATATGAAAAGAACACATCCACAACGTTCAAAATAGAGGGTCTGGTATCGTAATTTCATTGTGGAAATAGACATTATTATTGGAGCTCAATAGAGCTGAAATAAAACAAATCCCTGCTTGTAATTTCAGAGAAGAGGCATCCTGTCAGCAAAACAAAGTGGCTGAACTAAGTCCCGCCATTCCCCAGTGCCAAATATTTAATTGCTTCTGCCTTCTGACTTTCATTGACAAAATCATCAACTTTTATCTGCCAGCAATTAAAACCGAGTGACCTTCCTGATATTGTGGTTGTGAAAGGGCAATTATGCTGGCTGAGTTCAACTTAAAAGGCAAAAAAGAAGCATATCCTGTTTTTTTTTAAAACAAGCCTTTCAGGGCAAGAGAGCATATAATATAACTTTCCTAAAACTTTTGAGACGGTAATACATTAAACAATAAACACTATATGGTATCTGTGTATATGTTAGTTGCCATAATAGACTGTTAACTGAAAAGGTATACATATAAAATGCATACAGGAGCATGCTAAGCAAACAAACCATTGAACTGGGTATATAAAATAAAGATCCAGTTAATTCTATATCTTTTAGGAACCACTGCAAACTCTAGCACAGGGTAGAATACCTGCCCATTTCCATACTGTTTCTGTATATCAAATTGTGTTTCCTTCAGGATTGCCCTATGGATGGCAGTCTAGCATATGGAAAAGAATACAGCTGCTACTGTATGTAATTGCCATTTTTTGCACACCTACTTTTCTATCTTGAAAAGGTTCATTTCAATGAACTAATTGAATCTCTTGGGGTCCTTGGTGCTCTCTGAGTTTGATTGTTCTCTTGCAGATGTTTCATTACCTGAACTAGGTAATGAATCAGATGCTAGTCTGATTATGTTATCTAGTTTGGATAATGAAACATCTGCAAGAGAACAGCCAAGCTCAGAAAGCACCAAGGACCCCTCAGTTCATCTCTGAGCTACAAATATTCTCAATTATTAGTAACAATCTCTCTGCACTGGAACTTCCATCATTTCATGTTTTCTTAGATAGTAGTTGATAATGTTTTCATTATCATAGGCTGCTCTTACATATATTTCATGATGTTTTACTTTTGTGTTTGCATATGATTACCACTGTACCCTGGTCTGAGTTCAAGGGATGATGTGGTCATGTTCAAATAAATTAAACATTGTCCTCATTAGGCCCTCCAAAACATTGGGGAAATTCTGAAAGCTGCTGGCTGTGACTCCTCTAATGGTATGTTTACATTCAAATAAATTGGTGAACTTATCTATAAATGTATAGAGAGAAAAAGATGTTTTCTGCCTAATGAGAAAGAACAGCTATTAACTGATAGTTCAAGATAACTGTTGCAATGGTACCCAGGCTGTTCCTTCCATATAAATTTTTGAATTTATTGTGTTAAATTTTTTTATTATGCTGGTTTTGCTTAAGATTTAAGATTTTTGCTTAAGTTCTATATAAGTGATTTAAATAATACATATTTTGTATTATTTACTTGGAACAGTAGATTAGTGCTGCAACTTTTCTGACTGGTAAAACTACAGGTATTTTGATAATCCCTCCCCTCCAAGATAGTAAGTGTATGGTTTTGGAGGTTATTCGTACACTTTTTTTTCTTTCTTAAGGGTTTTCTCTGTTTTTCAGATTGTCAAATTAAATGACAATCAAAATTAATGTTCATAATACCATTTTTTTCTGGGTCAAGAATCACATTTGGCGTTTGTGTAGTAGGGTTAGGGTTGCACACCCAAAAGAAATGGTTGGGGCCAAGATAACATAAAATTTTACTCCATTAACATTGAAAGGTAATTAAAATTTGTTTCTGTGGACATTTTTCAGTCCAGTTTCATTGTTCCTTGCATGATGATGATGATGATATTTTTATCCCACTTTTTATGTAACTCAAAGCAGCAATCTTACCTTCTTCCTCCTATTTTCCCTACAACAAGAACAGTGGGTTGGGTTGAGAGATAGGGACTAACCCAAAGTCACCCAACCAGCTTTTATGTCTAAGGGAATCCTAGAACAGTCTCCTGGTTTCTAGGCCAGTAACCTTAGCCACTGCACTGAACTTTAAGTTATTATTTAATAACATCTGGAAGTCTCTGGGGGCCAAATCCAAGGTTTGGGGAGAATGTGTGCAGTCTTTGGTCCATAGATTGAACACATCTATTGTAGAGTAACTCTTCACAAGTTGTTGCCCCCAAAAGATAAGGTGTATAAAGTTCAATAATACCTAGACATCTTGATCCTAGAAGGATTATAGGAATTGAAGTCCAGCACCTTCAGAAACCACCAAAGGTGGGTGAAGTCTAACTCTGCAACCCCATTTGGAATGGGGTGGCCTACTCATTAAAAAAAGAATCACGGTTCCAAATCACTTGCCAGATAAAATCCTTGCAATACATTTCTATGCACGTTTGCTCAGAAGAAATGCCAGCCTACTCTGAAGTCTGTGTGTGTCTGTGTGTGTCTGTGTGTATGTGTATGATGTACAAAAGTTCAGACTTAATTATATTGACTGCTTAAATGTGTATAGCTAGGTGATGTGAAACATAATTAAAGACAGGGTTTCTTCATTTTTAGTGGTAAAGACTACTGTACTGATGACTGACATGAAGGATTTTAATGATATTAACGAAGTCTACAAGCAATGTAAGTATGGCTAGTGGCTGCATATTTAATTTCTTTACCTTATTTTGTGTTTGGATGGAGATATATCCAAATATGTACTTAAGCTTCTGCTATAACTACGGTATATAAGTTTGTGAATTATATATAAAGTTCAAAGCAGTACTAGAACTGGTAGAAACTGTAAAGGAACATTTGAATTCTATAATCTGTTAAAAAGCATGCAAATTCTTTCATTTGGCTATATTTTAGATGGAAAGTGCTTTATATGGGACTAAAACTCTATTGTGGTTTCTATACATCCTTGTGGCTACTTGGTATTGTTCATAACTTGCAAGCACATTTGTTTTGGAACATGCTTTCTTTTGGAAAAAAAAAGGGAGGGATTTAAATTCTTAGTTTGCTGATTTATCCACTTGCATTCTGTATAAATCTTTATAGAACCAGGAGGCCTTTTCCTTACCTAACTTTATAACTTGCTATTTAATATAATCCAACTAAATAAATTCTCTATTTCTGCATCAATTATTAATTGGAGCTATTTATCTACTCCATATAGTTTTCAAGTGCAACTTTCCAGCCCGAGCTGCTTATCAGGTTGTGGCTCTTCCGAAGGTAAATATCCGTTCTTATTTCTATAAATACTGGGAATGAATTTAATGTCTTTAGATTAGAAAATTTAATATTTTTAGATTTGCATTTTGTTATGTTCTTAAATATAACTTAGATATTGAGAAAATAGCTAATTCTTTTAACAGTGCAGTCTTATCTATGTTTACTCATAGATTGTGCGCTGTTTCTTTGTGCATCCTCTCATTTGAATTGAGGGAGTTCCTCTAATTTGCACAAGACATAATATTTTCTGTGATTGCAACATCACCATGGGATAACTCCTGGATTTTCACCTGCAAGGAGAGGATTAAATCCATATAAACCTGGCTGGAGGGGCAAGAGAGAGAGAGAGAGAAATGGGGAGGAAACCAAATTGGTGCACTCAGATTGATCACTATGCCCTCTGCTCTTTAGATGAGCTGTGTTGTGATATGAAGTACAGAGCCATCAATATACTGATGATATTTAGCTTGATCTGGCTACCCCAGATCTGCTGGAAATGGTAAATTTATGTCCCAGATTAGATGGGTCAAAGCAAGTTAAAGTTGAACCCAAGAAAGATGAAGTTGCTGTTGTTCCTTTGTTAGCTCCAGGGTTTTCTAAGGTGGTGGTACTGCTTCTTAGCAAGCAGACCTTCAACCCAGGTTCACAGTTCTGCTGGATGTATAGCTGGTATGCCAGCTGGGTGACTGAAATGGAAGAACCTGGCTACAGTGACTCGTGCCCTTACTTACCATTATATGATTGAACTTCTGTAATAAACTTACGGGCTACCTTTGAAGTCCATACCGAAGCTGCATTTGGTTCAACTTATTATTTGGTTCAACTTATTATTATTACAAGTACTCCTTGTTATTTTGAAATTATTACACATATTTTGCAGGCCCTCAATAATTGCCAGTAGAATTTGAAGTAGTTTGAAAAGCTAGTTTTAATTATGAAGTCCAATATGGCTTGGTACCAAGATATATTCAGAACTCTTGTTCCATGTGGTATCAGTCTGAGATGTCTTCTAGGAGAAATTAGTAGTGATGTTCCATTTTCATGAACTAAGGGGTCCTGAGGCCAGAAAATGTTACATTTTGGTGATGGCGCAGCCTCTCCCGGAAGGGAGGTTAGTTCTTTGATAACAGCCTTCCAGAAACTGATACAATCAAGCTTTTCTGGATGGCTTCTGAAGTGTAATTGTCACCAGTTATGTTTTACTGATTTGGTTTGAGTATTACTGTGATTCTATGAGAGGAAAATCCTGATTTCTCCGGTGCTTGACAATGTTCTTATTATTCATAGTAAAGTACCATTTATTATTTTCATATTTTAAATATGGGTTGTCGATGAATAATTTAAAAATTGAACCTTGGCAATGTGAAGAGGTGTGGATTTTATCTCCCAGAATTCCTCAGTCAGCAAGGCTGGTTGGGGAATTCTGGGAGCTGAAGTCCACACCTCTTCAAATCACTAGGGTTGAGAAACACTGATCTAAAACATCATGAGCTGAAGAGACTGAGGAGCTTTACATTAAACAAACCAACTCTGCCCTGACTTTATATGTTATATTTCTTCCTTCCAGGGTGCCTGTGTGGAGATTGAAGCTATTGCCATTTCGGGACCCCTTCAAGATGCCTCACAAGCTAAAATCTAGCAGCTCTGATTTCTTTTGCCATGGTCATTTTCACTGTCTATAGGATTCAATTCTGTCACTGATTCTCTCAAATAATATTATTCCTGAATTGTGAATCTGACTCATTTAGGTGTATTTGGGTGGGCAGATTGACTCACAGGCATCACTGCACCATTAAGGCTATTTGTTTATTCACGGTATAGCAATGTCATTAGTCTCAGTTACTTTAAGATGTGTGCCACCTGGAGAATTTTGAGAGTTGATTCATACATCTTAAAGTCACTGAAGTTGAGAAACATTGGAGTATACTATGAGTAAAGGACACTACAAGACTAAATACTGCAAGCTGCTTAAAAACATGAGGTTGGGAAAGCAATAGATCTCTTCAGATAAACTTGTCATAGATAAGAGAGAATAGATTTTCTAAAATTTGGGAGTCATGATTAATCTCTAGCTGTGTTTAACGTTAAGCAGAATTGTATACTTTAAAACATGAGAAGAAAAATCTATGAAGAATAAATCAAATTGCTATAACACTGATCTGTGTGGATAACATCAGTTTTGACTTCCCTCCCCAGAAAATAGCCGTTAAACTTACCAGTTCACACTTTGCCTGATTCACAAGATAATATTCAAATCTGCTACAAATTTTGTAATAAGAAACATGACAATACATTTTGTGTAATTTTATATAATCTTTTTCTACAAGTAATTGGCTTTTGAAGGAAAATGCTTAATAATAACATCACATTTATTTATTTGTAAAAGTGTGTTAGGGCTTTCTGAGTAGATCTTCTAATCTACTCAGGTTTAGGGAAGATTCAGTTTGGATCCTAATTCAGTAGAGTGGAAAACAGCCTGGCTGTCCAAATTAGAATGTCAATTCAGAACTATTAAAAAATTTTTTTCCTCCACAACAAATCAGTATAACTCTGTGTGATTGATTGATTGGTCTGACTAGATATTGTCACAAATCCTTTTACAGCAAATTCCAGACAAGTAGGCATTTTAAACGGAGCACTAGTATTATGCTAGGCACTCTATTTCTTTTTAATGATCAAGTATTGTTGCAATATTAAGATACAATTTTTAGACAATTTAGACACTCCCTAGGAGAACAACTTTGCCAGCTTTCATATGAATCAGGGATTGATATTATGCAACTTTCCCCATGATTTTATTGCATCTACCTCATAGTTATTTGATCTCCAGATTCTAGCTTGCATAGAATAGCATGAGGGAGAACTGTGCTTTGGTTGCAATTGGGACATGCAGGCCAAAATGTCAGAAAACTAATACTGTCCTTACCTGTAATTCCATAAGGCAGGATTAGAATTTACTGTCTCTGTTTCCAGCCTGGTGTCTTTAATCACTATACCACACGCTATCATATAAACAAATATAGGTCATACTCAATTGGGACGGTTAATAACTAATTAAATGAAACACCATGGGACAGTGCTGGACATATGTTAGTTCTGCTGTGATTAAGCAAATTATTTGCAGTCATCGAGTGGAATAGCACATGCCTGTGATTTGCAAATTACTGCCAGCTTCTCAACTGGTTGTTTGTCAGAAGCTGCCTATTAAACTCAAATGGTGATCATGTGACTGCAGGCTGCTGCAACTGTCTTAAATGCATGCTAATTGCCAAATGGCTGATGGTGATCACATGATTGGGGATGCTACAATGGTTGTAAGTTTGAGGACAGTTGTAAAGCTATATTTTCAATGCCAATGTAAGTTTCAATGGTTGTTAAACAGGGCATTCATTAACTGAGGACTACCGTAGATCTGTCATAAAAGGATGCAGAGTGGATTTGTTTGTGAGCAAACCTGGGGAATTCTTGCTACTAAATATTGGAAATCCTGTTCAAAGCATACAGATGAAGATGAGCAGCATAAGAAACAGAAGTGGTATCACTATCTAAGGTTACTACTAATCTCCCAGAGGTTGTGGACAATATCTTCCTAAATACAGGTGATATTTGACTTACAACCACAATTGAGCCCAACATTTTATGACTTTTCTTGCCACATTTGTTCAGTGAATCACTGCAGGTGTTAAAATATTAACACAGTTGTTAAGTGAATCTGACTTCCCCATTGGCTTTGCTTGTCAGAAGGTTGCAAAAAGTGATCCCGTGACCCCTGGGACACTGCAACCATCATGAGTCAGTTGCTAAGCATCTGAATTTTGATTACATGACAGTGGAGATGTTGCAACAGTCGTAAGTGTGAAAAACATGACTGTTGCAACATCTCCATTGTCATTGTCATATTTTCAGTGCCATTGTAACTTTGAATGGTCACTAAATGAACTGTTGCAAATCAAGGACTACCTGAAAAATTCTCCAAATAATCTGAGATTGGCTGGAAAATTAAGAGAAGGTAGGCAACTGACTTAATCCTGATCAACAAGGGATTGGTCAGCTAACTGAAGCTTTTAGGCATTTTGAAATAAAGCAACCGTGTCAAAGAGTTAACTAGGGAGAAAGTGAGAAGTCAGTCACATACCTTGGACCTAAGGAAATACACTTAGATGAAAAATGGGAAGATATCACCTTGAAATTCTGCACCATCATTTGGAGGAGAATCTAAAAATAAGATACTGAAAGCACAAAACATAGGAGCAGAAAATAGGAAAGCTTTAAGAGACTTGTGTGGATCATGACCTGAAAAGCAAAAAAAGATGTATGACAAATATGGCCTGATAACTAAGGTGGAATACTAATATTGCTCGCATGAGCTTGTAGGAACAGACTTGGGAATGCTAAACTCAAAATGTAAGTCTGGTAAGAAATGCAAAATACAATAGTATAGTTTTGTGAGGTGTGCTTTTAATAAAAGAATCAAGGCGGCTATAAGCCTGTTACATGAATAGTACACAGGGGAATAAGGAGAAGATGAAACTCTTCTAACATTTTTGCATTTAATCTCAGGAGAGAGAACTCTTCTCCAAAAGATAGAATGGGTGAGGCATAGCTCATAAGGTATGGTAGAACTCGTAATTTAAATGAATTTATCAACTGAGCCAGATAAATTAGATCTCGGTAGTAGTAGAAGTTGGCAAAGTGGGGTTTGTGACTATAATCTTTGAAGACTCCAGGAGAAAGGGAGAGATACTAACGATTAGAGAAGAACCAATATTAACCAATATTAAGGGAAAGAGGAAAGATCAGGAAAACTACCAACCAGTTAATGCCTGTACTAAGGCAGGCATTCATTCCACAACCTGTCATTCAGCATTGGAAGCACTTAAGCAATATTGTTTTCTGGAACCAGTGTTTGTAAAGAACAAATCATGTTAGGCTAATTAATTTTTTTGACAGGATGACCGAGCTGCTACACCAAGGGAATGCTATGGATTGTGTGCATCGTGATTGCGAAACATCTGTGAAGTCCTCTCATGTAAGTGCAGCTAAGGTAAATAAATATGGTATTGCAGTCCAATGAGCTTGTAGCTGGATCACCTGCAAGTCCCAAAGGATGATCATAAATTGTTCTGTATCATTCAGGACAGAAGTAGAGTGATGTCACTGGCTGGTGCTGTTCAACTCTTTTTTTTAAAAGACTCACAAGATGGATGAAATGATACAAAATTAAGGGGATTGACATTATGGACAAATTCACTATTCAAAAGGCTCAAATGCTGGGTCAAATCCAACAGAATGATTCACTGTGACAAGTGACCTCCATCTGGGTAGGAAAGATCAGATGAACAGACAGGATTGATTCAGTGGGAAGGCATGTGAGTGAGATGCATCTAGGAATAGCAAGGCCTGCTAGCTGAACATGAGCAAATAGTGGTATGGCAGCTAAATAAAATAGAATCTTGATTACATTAATAAAAGCATTGTATCCAGATCCTTTCTCTTTTCACACAGCATGATAATGACCAGCTGGTTGAGATTAAAACTGAATATTAGGAAGCATTTCCTAACATATTTGTTAGTGGTGGTTTCCAACAGGAAGTTTTCAAATGGGGGTGATGGACATCAATAATTCACTGGATTCCTACACTGAGTAAGAACTGGACTGTATATCCTATAAAATGCCTTCATTTCACAAGTTGCATGATTCTAAAATCTTATCAGCTACAAAACCTTTCTGCTTTCCTGAATGTACCAAGAATGTAGTTAATACTTTTTCTACAATACCCATAAACATTTACCCAATAGATTCCCATATCTGGACAACATTACCATATTCCACAAATATATTATTTATTTCAAAGTTTAAGGTTACATTTTAGAGACATTTGAGAAGGCATGAGACCAGCCATATCGCACAAATAGCAGCAAAGAACAAATGTGTTTCTGAAAATGAGTGAAGCACAGCTCTGCTCACTTTATTGGTTGCATAGTTTAAAGAATACTGTAATCAATCATTTATGTCATTTTTAACCTGACATTTGCAATATAATTGTTTTTTTAGAAGGCTATCTCTAATTTTTAAATGTCAACAATTCATACTAGTGCTCATCTAAGTATTTTGAGGACCACAATCACTATTTTCATTAGTTTCAGGAAATGAAATTTGTATTTTCTGTCCTATACCATATTAGAGAAATAAGATCGATGCTATAAAGCTCATCCTGTCCCTTTCCAGATAAGAATTACATGTTTACAAGAAACTTCACCTAAGAAATTTAATGCAATTAAATAATCCATGGCTGCAAAAACTCCACTGGAATTTAGTTATTTTCACCCTAGTATAGACCATATACATTCTTAGATCTAAGTTTATCTATAATCACATTTACAATTTATATTATTTGTGCTATATTATCCTTCATATTTATTTTCTACCTAAAGCAAGTAAGAGTGTTCTGCAATTTGTAGTTCCATTGAAACAATAGCAGGAGGCACTTTCTGGCAGGTGTGATGGTTTAACAATGCAGTTCCTCAGTGGTGCCTTGGCAACTTGATTTTTCCATTAAAATTTCTTAAAATGGTTTTCACTTAGTATTCAGTAGTTGTGATAAGTTTATACAAGCTTTTATAACAACTAGATTTTTGTCAAACAGGAATATACATTTTAACTGAGCGAACAAGGATAAGGTCCAGCCAGAAGCCATAAAGTTTAGCCATGAAGTCCAGCCAGAAACCCTGGGTCATTCTTCATTAGCTTGTTCTGTAATATAAAGGCAGAATTTAAAAAGTGCTAAAGATCTTCAGGTGAATACTTTTTGAAGTAAAGGTATGTGCACATACCATGCAAATTTGCTAATGCTTTTTATGTAAAACAAAAAACAAAAATAGAATATGCTTTTAAAATGATAAATTTCAGATTGAAAATGTAGATCTTGAATAGAATCCTAAAACAATTTAGATCCTAAAGCTGAAGAGAAAGAAGATACTCTAAAACTGAATAATTTAGATACCCAATTAGATCGAGGATGGATAATTTGCAGCACTCCAAACGGGCTAAAAATCAAGACACTGAATTATAGTCCCACCTAAGGCACAAAACTGACTGGGTCCTATTCTCTCTTCCCTAGGAAGCACACAATGGCAAATCACTTCTGAAATCTTGCCAAGAAAATGGCAGGGACATGTTCAGGCAGCTGTTAGGAGGTAGCACAAATTTGGAGGTACCCCCCAAAAAATTATTTTATGAACTGCAGCCCCCCGTCTACTCAATGTAACCAAAGACCAATTCCTATCTTGGAGAACTATATGCTCTCACCAGGTAAAGGAGATGACTCCTTCGCTCAGGGAGGGAGTGAGGGAAGACAGTCTAGTGGAAACAATGCAGGTTGTAGTTCATTAAAAAGAATTTTGAAATAAAATTGTGTCTGCATGTGTGCGTGTGTGCATGTGTGTATCTCAGCACTGTGGTAGCATGTAGCCAACCTTTATGGCTCCTAGTTAGTACTTTGATGGGAGACAGTTAAGCTTTTTTCCTCCCTGAAATAATTTTAAAGTTTATCAGGAAAGAAACCTCTGCTGTCAGAAACAATAAAAAGGTTGTTCATTTTTGTTTGTCTTTACTTGTTTTGACTTCCAGGTAGTCAGATGAGTGAGAATGGGAAATCTCAAAGCTATAGCAATAATCTGATTCTTACTAAAACAAGATTGGCAAATAGTAACTATAGAATTAATAGTGTTTAATTAAGCATCTCATTTTTCAAGTAGTTCCAGCTATTATTATCAGCTAGTTGGTTTACATCAGAAGATTCAAGGCGATGCTTTCACTTTTAAAACAGCATCCCGATTGAACTGTAGGGTGAGGTGTAGGAACCAAATGCTAAATCTGTCCAATTTGCAGCTTGCTTTCCCCAACACCCATTATAGTATTTCTTTCCTATGGTGTAGAAAATTATGCTAATTTTTTTCAACAATAATCTTTGGAGGGGAGTGACAAGGAGGAGGATTATGGGGGGAAAGGAATGACAAGTAAAGGAAGGTGGAAATCTGAAGGGGCTAACAATTCACAAGTCAAACATGAACCAGCAGTCCGCGCTGCTAAAAAAAAAAAAAAAGCAATTACTATGTTAACAGGAGCATTAGAGCTTAGATTATTGGGATTTAACTGTAGCATTTACTTTACTCTATTCAGACATCATTTAGAATTTTTGTCTAGTTCTGGATATCCCAGATCAAAAAAGACAATGAATTCAGAGAAAGGCTACGAAAATGGTGAGGAGTCTTGAAACCAAGCATTTTGAGGAACAGCTAAAGCAGGGGTGTCAAACTGATGTTGTCACAGCGTCATCCCACATGACATATTGCAACTTTTTTCTTCTTTGCTAAACTGGGCTTGGGTGTGGCCAGTGTGTGACACATCAGGCCCCCGGACTGCAAGTTTGACAGCCCTGAGTTAAAGGGTCTAGGAATGTTTAGGTTACAGAAAAAATAGATTAGGAGAATTATGTCAGCAGTCTTCAAATAAAGACTTGTCACACAGAAGAGGTAGTGGACTTACAAAGGTGGTTATTGACTTATGACTGTTATTGAGCGTTGAGTTAATCATGGTCATTGCATTGTGCTGGTCATTAAGCAGATTGTGACCCTGACTGATTTTATGACTTGGTTTGCGGCAGTCATTAAGCAAATGTTGCAGTCAGAAAGTGAACCTATTTTTGTAATGGGTGTCTTTGCCAGAAACCTAAAATAAATGCCAGTTTCTAGTTAAAAAAAAAAGGGAATTGTCACCACATGACTGCAGGATGCTGCAAAGTCCATAAATGTGGACTGGTTACCGGGTGCCCAGAATGGTCATGTGGTTGTGGGGTTGGTGGAGTGGATGGCAGCTTTTGGAACTTTGAATCTGGGTTGTAACTAATGTGGGAGCTATTTACTTGAATGGTCACTAAGCGAGCAGTCACAAGTTGAGGCCCACCTCTTCTCCATTGCCTCAGAGGGCAGGACTAAAACCAGTAAGTTGAAACTACAAGAAAAGAGGTTCAAACCAGATTTGAAACGGCTATTTCTGAATGTACGTAGGCTGTCACATAAAGTGATTTTTTTTTGCTGAAAGTCTTCAAACAGGATAAAAATATATCTTTGTAGTGCACTGAACAAGAGGTGAAACTATATGACTTTTAAGATCTATGATTCATCCTATATCTCTAGTTTTCTTTTGAATGTGCATATTCATCATGTCTTCTGAAACACTTTCTCAAAGAAATTCCTAGCAAATGTCCATGCCAATTCACAAGCTGCTACCTGAACATCTGCTGTAGAACACACAAGAATATCAATACAACATAATGTGTTCTTAATATATTACATTGTATTACATCAACATACTTATCTCCGTGACCAGTGTAGCTTCTCTGGTTTCTTCTTTTGTTTCCGAGGCCCCAGGTATTACCTCATGGTGCGTCTCAGTTTCCACCTTTTCTCCTGCCTCACCTGGGACAGTAACTATAGAGATCAAGGTAAGGAACACTGAAAAGAGCACTGAGTGTCTCAACAAACTATAGATATTACTTTGTCAGCCATAGATTTTCTGTAACTAGGAAAAAGCACAAGAGATACCTAGTATTGCTGCTGAGATATAGGTACTTGTTTCTTAGAAATTCAGTCACTAAATGCTCTTTATCAGCAACTATTTGGATCCTTCATGTTAAAAAAAATTGGTAAAACTATTTAAAAATTAAATTACTAAAGCTATATTAAATCATCTTGATTTATTGCCATTCCAAGTCAAAACATGCCGATATGCACATAGATGGAATTCCCATTCCCTAAAAATTTATCTACTTTGTTAAAGGAATTCAATAAAATGCTACAGATGCTGTTTCCAGCAGGACACATTTTTCATAGATCCTGTCATAGTGGTACAGTATAAGAATCTATATTTGTAGGTCAGAATTATCCTTAAAAAAGAGTTTGTCAGGTCTTATGTAAAAATGCAGGATCACCATTACTTCCTCCTTTCCATGATCGTCTCAATTTCTATGAATTGTTAGAATGAACAAGATGTACTATAAATCAATGCAATATGGCACTTGGGGGGGAAAAGATTCCAGTAATCTAAACCAGACAAAACACAGTCCTGTATTTTGGGTCAACAATTCATACAAGCATCAGATTAATTTTATCTGACCTGAAATAAATATTATCCTTAGCAATGAGCAGATCCATCTGCAGATTAGAGATGGTTTGCATATATTCACTATACCGCTAGATAGAGCTTTCCCATGTAAAGTTACTATCTAATTACCATTTTATCTGGTAAGCATTATTGGAAGGAGGAACAAACAAGGAAAAATTAATACCAGATAGCATGTGGTCATTTAATCCTGGACAGGTATTAATATTATAGCCTTTTTATTACTTTTCTTATGACTTTCAAATACTCAAATACTTGCTCAAATCTATTAAGCAAAAGTTTCTGCTCCCAGAAAGAGGACCCAGAATGTTGGGGGCAATGATGCTGGCTCTGAAACCGCTTAGAGAGGGCTGTAATTGTGAAACAGGATCTAAGTGTGAGCACTATTGCTATTCACACATAAAAATAATTGTTTGAGCATACATGGCAGAATCTGTCCCTTGAAATTGCAAGAGAATATTTATTACCCTCTGTTAGTTGTTCCTCTTCATCCACAAGCAGTTCTGTCACAATTTCTCTTACAAAACATCGGATTTCCTCTGTTGAAGGCTCAGGTGTGCCCCCTTCTGAGGTTTCAGTAGGTTCAGGCTTCTTATCCTGGAGAGATTCTAAATGTGAAGAACCAGCAGCTTCTGTGGCAACTTGAGGATTGCTAGCCAACTCTGTTGACTTCACAGCCTGAGACCCAGCAGCTTCAAGGAAGTCTAAAGATAAGCACTGACTTCTGTCAAACTTTTCTTCTGGTGCTGTTAGCTGAGGCTCTGTACCCTCAGGATCTACTCTGTGACAGGTAGAAAGGTCACATTTTGTTATTTCCTGAATCAAAGCATCAGGCTCCTCTTTACAGAGATCCTCATCTGTTTTTTTCCAAGAAGATCCAAGCTTCTCCTCCTCTAGGGGTTCAAGTTTAGTCTGGTCAGATTCTGTGTCATTTTTATCTGTGATAGGCAAGCTGTCATCTGATTTCCCAGTGTTGATCAAATGTGTTTTAAAGAAGAAAGAGAAAGAAACATAAATATTTGCAGCCACTTTTAATCATGGAGTTATTTTTTTTATGAATGTTTTGCATTTTGTTTCCTTTGGAATTGCTATTTACGCACTTCTCATCCTACCCATATGATTTATTATAACTTATGAGATTGTTATTCTTTAAGGTACCACATGTTGCTTTGCTATAACTAATTGCTGGGAACAGGGATGGGATCCGACCGGTATAACTACCGGTTCTGTTGCTCTGCATCACGTGCGCATGTGTGAGTCATGCAAGTGCAATTTACGACCTGCTGAGCAGCGTTGCGTGCAAGTGCACAGCGGTTGGAAAAGCCCTTTTTTTCCTGCTTTTTCAACCACAGCTGTGCCGCGCAAAGCAGCTGAGGTTGAAAAAGCAGGAAATAAAGGACAGGTAAGAGCCCAGGCGGGCAGGTGGACCAAAACAGCTGCAGACACAGAACCGGTTCTGTGTCTGCTGCTCTTCAGAGCTACCGGTTCTGTAGAGCTGGACAGAATCGGTAGAATCCCACCCCTGGCTGGGAAATAATATGGCAGAACTATATGTATTTTAAATACATGTATATCACTGTGGTTACAAATAGGTAAATGAGCTAAGGCCAGGTCATGAGCAAAGCAACAAATTGCAATAGCTGGCAGGTTAACATCACTTCTTAGATATAAGCAATCCAGGCTAGGTCTGACAAGGGAGGAAATAACAAGAGCTAAACCTCCATTGACCAACATGACTGAAGCAAAAACAACAGAGTTAATTATAAGTGGGAGGTGGTTGGAAGGGCCTATTACGTGTGCAAGGGCTAAATTGATTAATGATATATAAAGGCATGGATCTCTTCAAATACTGTTACCAATATTATTGCTCTTTATCATTTTAATGATTACTGGTTTGTAAACTGCCCAGTCGTCTGTAGCATAGCCAACATTCTGAAATCAGCATTAAAAAAACTGCACCAGTTAGCAGACTTTGCTTCACATTTCAATGTTGTTTTCCTGACTGTACAATTATAAAAATATGATTAGACCTAACGGCATATATTGTATGTAACAGTGATCCTTCATGTAATATATTATCAAAGCATGTCAGATGGATTAAGAAATAATCTAAAAGAGTTAGAATATAATTTAAAATCTTTACTAAAATTGTCACATATTAGCAGCTGAATAGTTCCTCAAAAAGTGAAATGAGAAAACTGATTTAAGACTTTAAATTACAAAAGTAGAGAACATTTATTTTAAAGTATTTTAGTTTATTTTAAACTAAAATTAGTCACAAATACTTAGAATTTGTCACATCATAGTGTACACAAAAATACAGTTTTTATCAATATTTTCTACATGAGTTGATTTTGAAGAAAGCATATATTTACATAGCTATCTTTAAAACTGATACATAATCCTCATTAGGATTATTCATCTCAACATTTTAGCAGTTCCAGTTCAATCATTGTTTTTCTTGATTTGGCAGAAAATGCTGAAAATAAACATGAAGGACAAACCAACTTGCAAGAGAGCAATATGTCATTATTGATTAGTTATAAATATAAGGATAACAGTTCTATGCTATTTTGTTAAAATAGACTCAATTCAACAAAGTGAGGATTTATTCCTCAGGATCTACTTGCATGTTTCTAGGATGGAATTTTATGACTAGGTCCATGAATGATTAAGTGGTTTCCTCTTTTGATTTCTTCTAAGTGCCATAGAGAAGAGACCACTGTGCGAAAAGGGGCAAGACCAGAACAAAGCTTAACTTTTGCAGGGAGTGGGGTGAAAATTACCTGCCCTCCGGTGATGGGAATGGGAAACGCAAAGGGGAAGTCAACTAGGGCAGCCAAGAACAGGGTGTCCTTAAGTAATAAAGGCAACTGTAAGCAGCTCTTCAGTTGCAGACGTTGGGGGGGGGGGGGAAGGGGGTGTGCGGAGCTGCACTTCCCAAAGTCGTTATTCTCTCTCCTCGTTGATTTAGCTCTTATCGGCCAGGCTTTTCCAGCCTTGAATGTCTTACACTCCCCTTCCCCCAAACTCCGCTTCTTGAAGCGATCCCTCTTGCGAGGGCGACTCCTCCGCTTTGGCGCACGTTAAAAAACCGCCGAGCACTCACCGCACTGGGACAATCCGTTGGTCTCCGGGGATTTGGGAGTTTGTCGGCCGAACTCCTTGACTTTGGTCTGAGCGCTGCTCGAGCACCCCATGGCGTGGTTATAGCAGCGGCTCCCAAGGGCGCCAGGCAACCCAGGTGAGTCTTCTCAGCTGTGGCTACAGGTGAGGCGCCCGGCGAGTCCGCTCTCCGCTTCCTGCTAGAAAAGGAATACGCACAGGTGGTTCCTCCTCGGACGCGTAAAAAAGCCCAGCCAAAGCACACACCCCCTCCCCTCCCGCGTTGCGTTGGCAGAGAAACTTACCCCTTGTCCGCTCGCGCGGGAGAGTGTTTATCGCTCCGGCTCGGTTGCCATAAGAACGGCTCAGTGAGGGGTAGTTTCCAACAAGCCTCCTCTCAGACTTTTGGTATGCCCGGTCTTGGTTGCGGGGCGCAGGCGCGTCTGTGGCGGGCCAGAGACTTGTCAGCTGGAGAGCGAGGGAGTTAATGGCAGCCCTATAAGACGATTCTGCTAAATGGGCTGAAGGCAGCCTAACCTGCCTGGGACGTTTCGCCAAGCGACCCCCCCCCCCAATCCAACTTTTGTTGATTCCAGGCATACACAATCCCCAAATCCTTTCTGACACGACAGTAGTAATTTTCAACAACTCTTCGCTGCTGCCTTTTCATAACGCCTCAGATAATCTGAATTAACCATCACTTCAGTGTGCTCAATGCATCCATACTTATAACCAACTTTCCGCCACATATGTGGGCCTGTATTTCCCCAGCCAGGAAGGGGCACATCCCAAAGTGCCAAACTCCTTGATACGACTGCTATGGTGGTGAATGCAATTCAAAAAACACTACCTCAGATTATTTGGGGCTGACCTGCATGTAGGTAGTGCTATCCTTAACTAGCAACAAAGGACACTTAGGGAGCCCCTAAAAGTTATGTTTACCAAGGCAAACATCTTTACTTTTCTTCTCATTTTCCCCCCTATCATAATATTTTGATGACGGACACTGCATTTTAGTTTTGTGTGTGGGGGTGTTGTGTGCCTGTGGTGGGTTGCCATTTGCCCCTGACTCAGACAATAGGCCTATTGTATTAAACAGTTACACATTTACTTCTCTAGTGACCTGGATCTGATTGCTCAGGTATGATAACCATTATGATTTATATTTTGAAAACTAGTTTATTTCCTGGTGAAAGAAAAGCAAAACAAATATTGCAGGTTCTTTAATTATCTTCAATAGCTGTTGCATCAGGTGGTCCTTGTGGGTGATGCAGCTAGTAACCTTTTGAACATTTGCAACATACCAGCTAGACAGATGGGAACTGTGGACCATACAAGCTGGAGGCAAGTTTGTACAAAACAGTTCATCCAAGGCAAACAGTTTTTGTGTTTGATTAGAAAACATTCACATGAAATGCAAACATTAATGAATACTGTACAAAGTACATGGCTCTGTCAGATGTAGTCATAAACATAAAAAGTAACAGACGTTATTGAAATATCTATTGGATATCTGTTGGAGTCTGCAAGTTGACTGATATAATTCATTATATTTCTACTATAAGGAACTAAAAAGAGATTTTTGAGATTGGGAGTGTGTTCCTGAAAGCCACAGTTGACTTCTTATCTTGCCAGTTGAATTTGAAGCCTATTTCAAGTTGCTCATAATACTTTTTTGATGGGTATCAGGCCATCCAATTTTATAGTGTTCACTCTGCACCTTTAATTCAATGGAACACATTTTGCTGATCCTTCCTTTGGATACATCTGACATCAGTTGTTCATTCTGCTTGATTCATTATGTAGGTCATACTGTGGAGCAAACTGGCATTGGAGTTGGAACAAGTCCCTTCCTTATTAAAGTTTAGGAATTGGCTCAAAACATATGTTAATTAATTAAGTGTTTGACTTTTCAAAACAATTTAATTATTTTAAAATATACATTGTTTTAGTTTAATAATGTTTTAATAATGCTTTAACTGTACTTCTGAGAGTCACTATAAGCCATTACAGGAGGTTTAATATGCTCTAAATAAATGAATAAGGGTATTTGTTAGGTTGTATTATCCATCTATTGGCTGTATTTTATTCATTTGATTTGTATTTCACCTTTTTTTGCAATGTACATAAATGCTGACTCCTTTTATTTTCCTCACAATAATCATATTAAGATGGGTTGGGCTGATCCAAAGTCACCAACTGGTTTCCATGCCAAAGGAAGAACAGTTAGTTTCAAGTCCAACACTTTAACTACTATATCAAATTTTATATGTATGTTTTGAGATGTGCCTTAGGAGTTGATTATTATTTAGGAGTTGATTATTATTTTCTAGGTTTTGTCTATACTTCTGCAGTCTTTGTTTTCTTAGGTTTGTAAAATGTTTCCTGACTGGTGATAGAATGACAAAAATGTCAGTGTTGATTCAGCAGATTGCAACCTTCCAAAATTCTCATTGTGTTGGATTTGGAACAATGAGGTCCATTTGGTTTCTAAACCCTAAATGAATAGGACAGTACATGCATCAGAAGTAATTGAATGAGCATGTTTACACTTCCTTTATAGATGATAATTTATCATGAACCCCTTTAATCCCATAGGAAGAAAACTAATTAGTGTGGTTGCCAAAATGGAATTTTAATAAAACCCTTTGCCTTGTTTGATGAAAGAAATGCATGAAAGAAATGTCCAATGTCTGCTAATTTTAAACAGTGTTTGAGAGGTTCTGAATATGGTATTAGGATAACAATGTTCACAGTGATAAAGTACCAAATCGAGTTGAAAGGTTGCAGTAGTAATGTAAACTGTACAGGTAGTCCTCTACTTACAATCACAATTGGGACCAAACTTTCTGTTGCTAGGCAAGGCAGTTATTAAGTAAATCATGCAGTTGTTAAATGTATTCTGCTTTTCCCATTGACTTTGCTTGTTGGAAGTTGACTGGAAAGGCTACAAATGGGTTCATATGACCCCAGGGCACTACAATTATCGTAAATACATGACAATTGCCAAAACACCCAAATTTTGATCATATGAACGTGGGGATTCTGCAACAATCATAAATCATAGGCCACTTTTTTCTGTGTCATGCTAACCTTGAATGGGTATTAAATAAATGATTAAATGATGAGGATTATCTGTAAATCAAACAAATAATATAACTAACTGAAACGGCCCTTTTGGTTCCAACAACAACATATTTGTCCATTTGCAAACTAACAGACTTCAAAGAATCTTATAGATTTGAAAAAAATAACTTGTAGCCTCATCTTCTCAGTGCAGATGCAATTGTCTTAATAGAATGAAGATATGTTGTTGAAATAAAAATATTCTGCCCCTTTTATATACTGTATAAAAGTTGATTGGACTGGTCATCAAACCTTATTTTGATGATAAGAGAATTTCCACCACATTATTAGATGTGGTAGCCTGTTGTAGAAGGATCAGGACAGAATCTGCATCAATACATTTAGTGGAAGACATTTAAACTGAGTCCAAACTATCATCTTGTGCAAGAATCCAAATGAATCCTTTGCTCCTAGTTAGCATTTTGCCATTTTCACTGAGCAGTTTATTTTGAATAGATTCATTATATTAGCTTTAGCAAAAATTCCAATACAATCCTTGAACATTTATATTTATTCTATTCCTCTTGATCAAACTGTATTGTTCAGTTACTAAATTCAAATAATAGGAGTTATCAATCAGGTCTCTGACCTACTGATAAGACATTTGCCTTCCCATATTAAGAATTCAGTGCCAGCTAGATGGCAGCAGTTAGTCAGCACCTGGTTGATCTCAAAAAGCTATGTCTAGAAATACTATGCATATAAATATTTATAGTTATAATCCACTGATTATTTCCTAAAACAAAGTGAGCCGCAAAAAATCTGGCGGAGAAAGAAATTTACTGTTACTGCAGGTTGGATTAGGAAATAGCAGGATAGTGCTTATTTATGTTCAAAGGTGCTTCTTTGATAAGTGGGACCACAGAGATTTTACATTCCAAAATGTCAAAGATATCAATTATTCATCCCTGTTTTACAAAAATATGTTCTAGGACCAAAGTTTGACAGATCTTTGACTCATAGCTCACTATTTCATAGATAACTGTTTTATTGAATTTAGTACAATAATATCTTCAAAGTGGCTCATCTACCTTCTCCATTGTTTCCATTCTTTGATTTTCATGAATCTTGCCAAACACCTTTTTCTAGTCCCATCCCATTATCCTCCCCTTCCCCCAAATATAATTAAGGTTATTTCTACACTATTACAAACATTTTGGGGCAACAGCATGACACAGATTTGCCACTGTCTTTTTCATTGTTCAGTCCATTCTGGAGAACTGCTGTTTCCCCACTGTTTCTTTACCAAGCTGGTCCCACTTAGCGTCTATGGCCAAAAGCTCCAACGTGGTAGCACAAAACCTTGTGTAGTTCTACTCAAGGCAAGAGCCTGATGGAATGGTAATTTTAGGCTTAATTTGAAGAAGGCAGCAGAAATGCATGAATCTAGACTGGACTTCCCTAGTTGCTGAGATCAAAGCAGATAGGGAACACAGCAGATAATTGTAAGAGTATGGAGCTAATTTTCATTTGAAAATATTTAGGATTCTAAATACAGTATTATCAATTTGGACTTTCCTTCCTCCAGAGACAAATCTCTCTAAATGCAGTTGATACCCATAAAACTCAGGCACCCAAGTTGATGTGGAGTTAAAAAGTACCTAGTATCAGAATTTGAAATACACCCAGTATCTTTGCAAAGTAGCTTTTCCATCGCCACCACCTACAATACAAACCACAAGTACTTGACCGGACGGAATATGTGCCTACTTCTTTAAAAAGCTACCCACTGCCATAGGCGAACCTCTAAGCATAATCTTCGAAAAATCTTTCAGGACCAGTTCCTTGCCAAAACTATGGTCACAAGCCACGGTCATCCCCATCTTCAAAAAGGGAGATCGCAGTCTAGTTGAAAATTACAGACCAATCTCTTTATGCTGCATCACCTGTAAAGTCATGGAATCAATTATTAACCAATCCATTATCCTCCACTTAGAGACAAACAACCTACTCTCTAATAAACAATTTCATTTCAGAAAAAAACTATCCTGCAATCTGCAACTCTTACACTGCAAAAACATATGGACTACACAACTCGATCAGGGAAAAGCAACAAACACAATCTACATAGACTTCTGTAAAGCCTTTGATTCAGTGGTACACGACAAACTACTCCTAAAACTAAAATCTTACGGTATCTCTGGACACCTGCATAACTGGATAGAAGCATTTCTGTCAAACAGACAACTAATGGTCAAAATTGGGAGCGTCCTATCAAATTCTGTACTCGTGAACAGTGGTGACCCCCAAGGCAGTGTTCTAGGACCAACTCTTTTCATACTCTACATAAATGACCTCTGTGATCATATTAAGAGCAACTGTGTTCTCTTCGCTGATGATGTAAAGCTATTCAACACCACAGACAATACTGCTACCCTCCAAAAAGACCTTGACTATGTATCAGAATGGTCAAACAAATGGCAACTTCAAATCTCAACAAATAAATGCTCTGTCTTACATATTGGCAAAAAAATAATCAGAAAATAAAATACAAGCTGAATAGTCAAGATCTTGTTGATGATCCAAACTCTATCAAGGATCTTGGAGTACTCATCTCAAATGATCTAAGTGCTAGAGCCCACTGTAACTACATAGCCAAAAAGGCATGAAGAGTTGTTAACCTAATCCTACGTAGCTTTTTCTCTGGTAATATTACACTAATAACTACAGCATACAAAACATTTGCTAGACCAATACTCAAATACAGCTCATCAGTCTGGAACCCACATTACATATCTGATATTAACACAGTTGAGAAAGTCCAGAAATATTTCACAAGAAGAGTTCTCCACTCCTCTACTCGTTGCAGAATACCTTATGCCACCAGACTTGAAATTCTAGGCCTAGAAAACCTAGAACTATGCCGCCTTCAGTCCGATCTAAGTATAGTACATAAAATTATCTACTGTAATGTCCTACCTGTCAATGAATACTTCAGCTTCAACAATAACAACACAAGAACAAACAATAGATACAAACTCAAGGTTAAACTTGATTGCAGGAAATACTTCAGCAACAGAGTGGTCAATGTCTGGAATACTCTGACTCTGTGGTTTCTTCCCCAAACCCCAAAAACTTTAACCTTAGACTGTCTACTATTGACCTCACCCCTTTCCTAAGAGGTCTGTAGGGGGGGGGGTGCATAAGTGTCCCAACATGTCCACAGTCCCTGTCCTATTGTTTTTATTTTTATTTTATTTTTCTTATATGTATCCATGTATTCATAACTATGCTTTTACTTATACCTATTATCTTGTAAGCAATTGACAAACCAAATAAAATAAATAAATAAAAGCAAAAGGCATTAAGGGGTGAAGTCTTTGTATAGGGTATAGAAAAAATTGAAACATATTTATTTATTTATTTATTTTATTTATTTGATTTGCCAATTGTTTACAAGATAATAAGTATAAGTGTATACATAGTTGTGAATACATGAAATGGGTACATATAAGAAAAATAAAAGAATAAGAGAAACAATAGGACAGGGACGGTAGGCACGTTGGTGCGCTTATGCACGCCCCCTACAGACCTCTTAGGAAAGGGGTGAGGTCAATAGTAGACAGTCTAAGGTTAAAGTTTTTGGGGTTTGGGGAAGAGACTACAGAGTCGGGTAGAGTATTCCAGACATTGACCACTCTATTGCTGAAGTCGTATTTCCTGCAATCAAGTTTGGTGCGGTTAACTTTGAGTTTGTATCTATTGTGTGCTCTTGTGTTGTTATGGTTGAAGCTGAAGTATTCACTGACAGGTAGGACATTGCAATGTGTGATTTTATATACCATGCTTAAGTCAGACTGAAGACGGCGTAATTCAAGGTTTTCTAGTTCTAGAATTTCAAGTCTGGTGGCATAAGGTATTCTACAACGAGTAGAGGAGTGGAGAACTCTTCTTGTGAAATATTTCTGGACTTTCTCAATTGTGCTAATATCAGATACGTAATGTGGGTTCCAGACTGATGAACTGTATTCGAGTATTGGTCTAGCAAATGTTTTGTATGCTCTGGTTAGTAGTATTACCAGAGAAAAAGCTACGTAGGATTAGGTTAACAACTCTTAATGCCTTTTTGGCTATGTAGTTGCAGTGGGCTCTAGCACTTAGATCATTAGAGGTGAGTATTCCAAGGTCCTTTACAGAGCTTGGGTCATCAACAAGTTCTTGACTATTCAGCTTGTATTTTATTTTCTGATTTTTTTTGCCAATATGTAAGACAGAGCATTTATTTGTTGAGATTTGAAGTTGCCATTTGTTTGACCATTCTGTTACATAGTCAAGATCTTTTTGTAGGGTAGCAGTATTGTCTGTGGTATTGAACAGCTTTACATCATCAGCGAAGAGAACGCAATTGCTCTTAATATGATCGCAGAGGTCATTTATGTAGAGTATGAAGAGAGTTGGTCCTAGAACACTGCCTTGGGGGACACCACTATTGACAGGTACTGGATTTGATAGGACGCTCCCAATTTTGACCATTTGTTGTCTGTTTGACAGGAATGCTTCTATCCAGTTATTCAGTTGTCCAGAGATACCATGGGATTTTATTTTTAGGAGTAGTTTGTCGTGTACCACTGAATCAAAGGCTTTACAGAAGTCTATGTAGATTGCGTCTATTGCTTTGCCACCAGACTTGAAATTCTAGGCCTACAAAACCTAGAACTATGCCGCCTTCAGTCCGATCTAAGTATAGTACATAAAATTATCTACTGTAATGTCCTACCTGTCAATGAATACTTCAGCTTCAACCATAACAACACAAGAACAAACAATAGATACAAACTCAAGGTTAAACTTGATTGCAGGAAATATTTCAGCAACAGAGTGGTCAATGTCTGGAATACTCTGACTCTGTGGTTTCTTCCCCAAACCCCAAAAACTTTAACCTTAGACTGTCTACTATTGACCTCACCCCTTTCCTAAGAGGTCTGTAGGGGGTGGTGGTGCATAAGTGTCCCAACATGTCCACAGTCCCTGTCCTATTGTTTTTATTTTTATTTTATTTTTCTTATATGTATCCATGTATTCATAACTATGCTTTTACTTATACCTATTATCTTGTAAGCAATTGACAAACCAAATAAAATAAAATAAATAAATAAAAGCAAAAGGCATTAAGGGGTGAAGTCTTTGTATAGGTTATAGAAAAAATTGAAACATATTAGATTGCTTTTGGCTCAAAAGAAAAACATGGTTTCCTAAAGTTGAAAAGAACGCAAAGATGCTATACTAAAATGCTATATTCACCTATATTATAATGCTAATAATGAAACCTAAAATTTTATGCAGATGTTCTGACATCCTCCGGTTATTCATTTCTAAGCCTGGCAACTTTAAGATGTGTGGACTTCGATTGACACGGAGAAGTCTGGAAGTTGAAGTCCATTCTTCTTAAAGTTGCCAAGGTTAAGAAAACGCTGCTTTACTCTTTGTACCAGGATAAAGACTGAGTCCCGTATAAACCTATGAAAAAAACCACTAGTTTTATGAAGCGCGGCAATCCCGCGATTGTTGCGCGCGCATCCTCATTGTAAGCCAGAAATCAGCGAGAGTTTTCGAACCGGGAGAGAGAGAGGAGGTGTCTGCTCTCGCGAGAGTCGCTGTCGGTCGCGCTGACCCGCGTGGTCCTACGCGTTGCCGCGAGATACTTCCTTTCCTCGTTGCCCGGCCATCTTGGAGGCGCTCCTTTGGTGAGCGGGGCCTGAGCCTTTGGAGGAGGGGGTCGCCTTGGGTGTGGGATGCGTTTGGCGGGTGGAAAATGGCTGTGCTCAGCCGCAGTGTTGACTCTTTTCCTTTTCCGCAGGCAACGGCAGGGCCGACGTGAGCCGGCAAGATGGTGGCCGCCAAGAAGACGGTGAGTGAGCGTGCCAGCCAGCCGGCTGACCTGGTGATAAAAGGGGATCACCGGGGATCCCGAGGCCAGCTAGTGGAGGGAGATAGCAGCGCTCCAACGATTGCGAAAGGCCTCCGACTCGAGACGACAAATTTCTGATCAAACGGGGTAGATCATCGGAAGAGCCACTGATAACAAACACCTAAGCAATAGCGATTGGGCCTAAGGCGCGGTCCATTTCGGAGCTTTCTGCCTTAGTTATTGCTTCCACGCCTGTTGTCATATGGAATGGCAAAGGCGGATGCTATGAGATATAGAAGCATGTAAGGGTCAGTTTGCAGGTCTTTGGGTGATGGCCGTAGGTTTTGCTGCGTGCTGGTATCATCTGTGCTGTATATGTGCACATACGGACAGGATATATATGGAAGATCGAGGCTTTGTTGCAGCTGCGAAAAATGTATGTGGCCGGGGGTTTTGCCACAGCTGTTTAAATATTACTGAATTTGGGTTGCATAATCTGCATAATATCAAGGTAAAATATACATTAGAATGTCTTAAAATATATAGTAATCCATAAGTCAACTAGCATAAGGGTGTAGTGGTAAGATTATGATGATAATACCCATGCAGTCATATCTGATTCTATGGCCAGATCTCCATCTTTAGATCTTGCACTGAGTTTTTCTATGCAAGTATGCTTTGTTAAAAAAAAAATTAGTCCATCGGAAACTGACATGCTTTTGAATAAATGCATTTGGTTTAAAGGCATTTTAAAAGAATCTTTAGGTTTTGAAAGCGTATTAGGATGAAAAGAAACACCAGTATTTGGATCTATTTAACCCTACTGATTAAGCCAAGGGTCTTCAAACTTGGCGATTTTAAGACTTGTGGACTTCAATTCTGAGAATTCCTGAAGTGTTGGTGTGATGTCAGGGTTTTCAATTCAATGTGTGGTGGAGTGTGAAGGATGTGTGTTTGTGTTTATTTTCATGGTCAAGATGTGCACTGAAAATGGTGTTTGATTTCATTGTACAAGGTGCAGTGACAATAAACTAAACTAACATGACTGGATGAGGAATTTTGGGAGTTGAAGTCCACAAGTCTTAAAACTGTCAAGTTTGAAGATCCCTGGGTTAAGCAATTCATATTATGAATTTTCTCTTGAAGTTACTCTTTGTGGCTTGAGTAGAAGATTGAACAAGAACTGTAATAGAATTATAAGCATGATTAACTATTGCTCTCAAAACACTTTGCTTTTAAGGCTGGAAGATACAATTGTATTCTAATAACTCTTGACTGAGCTTTTGAGAAAGAAAATTCAAAAAATATTAGCTGTGTTTTAAATGGGATTCTTTGTAGATATTTTGGTTGCATTGCACCATGTTAAAAAAGCGTGTAAATTATTAATGCTGAATGAAATATTACATTTTGTGATGGGGTCAGTGTATAGAGCAAGGCATCTAGGGAGAAAGTAGACAAGGTATTTTAATGCATTACGAATTATAGATGAGCCAAGAGAATATGCATAATTTTGTGTTGTGTGCCAGTTGCATCCTTTTCTGGAATACGAGCCCTGTGGGCAGTCAGTCATTCAACCTCTGATCATCTCAGTTGGATTACTGCAACATGCTCTTCATAAGGCTACTCTTGAATAGTGTTCAGATGCTACAAGTGATACAGAATGTGGCAATGTGAACAGTTCTGGAGGTCCCTTTAATGGCACATGTGACACTGCTGTTATGCATAGTGCATTGGTTACCAGGTTTTTTTGGGAGGGTCTAATTCAAGGTGTTGGTTATTATGTTTAAAGCCCTTTATAGCATGATTCCAGGGCATTTGAGGAGCCATTTCATCCTGATGGGATTAGATCACGCTGCTTGCTCTAGTAGAAGGAGCCCATTTTGGATCCCCTCTGCCAAAGAATTTCAACTGGCAGAGTTCAGGAGAAGGGCCCTTTCTGCTATGACTCCTGGCCTCTGGAATATTCTCCTGCTGGAGGTGAGGTCTACTCCAACACTCCTGGCCTTTGGGAAGGGCCTGAAAACTTGGACTCTGCTGTTTGCTTGGGGCCCCAAAGGAGTGTGCTATATTGAGGGTAGCTGATGGGATAGAAAAGATCCCCAACCCCAGGTCACCCATCATCTTGGCTGTTAACTTTCCAATTTAATTCTCCAAATTTTAATTGCTTTGTATTATCTTTCATTTTACTTTTTATTATATTGTGAGCTGCTGGGAGTTGCAGTGAGATGGGTGGCATAAAAATTTAATAAATAAAATGCAGAAAACATTTCATACATCCACTCTTTTTTATTACAGAAAAAGTCTTTAGAGTCCATAAACTCTAGGCTTCAGCTGGTTATGAAAAGTGGTAAATATGTTCTTGGATATAAACAAACTCTGAAAATGATTCGGCAGGGCAAAGCCAAGTTGGTTATCCTAGCCAATAACTGTCCTGCTTTGAGGTAAGTGTGCATTTTTTGAACAGTACTTTTATTAAAGGATCACATAAAATAGTTGCTTATAGTATTTAATGAAAATGTCTTAACATCAAATGCAAAAAATCTACTTGACGTAGTTATTTTTGGCTTTTATATATGGCTTTTCAAATATATTAGTCAACCAGGCACTGAATATCATTTTTTTTTTGCTGAAATCTAATTTCAGCAATAAAGGGAGATTGGATGAGACATTCCAACATTAATTTTATGATCTTATAGGTTATTAACTTAATTTTTTTTAAATCAGGAAGACTAGTATATGTGATAAGGTAATGTGAAGATAAAAGTTCTGAGTAGATATAATAGAAGAAAACTATGATAACCTTTATAGGTTGATATGCTCATGGGAAATGTATTATACTGGTGTATTAGAATTGATAAAGTAAGTTCTGCTTGCATATAGCAATTGTATTAAGAATATATAATATATAAAGTCTTTATGAGATTTTATTTTGTAAAAATATTGCAAATATTGCCAGCTTCAGTTACCATGGTCTTTGGCTAATAGCCAGGAGAAACTCAATTTATTCCTCAAATCTAAGTTCTAACCTATATTGCAGGTTTAAAAAAAATCTAGCCTTCATAATGCATTAGTCCCATAAAAATTAATGTAGTGTAAATTGAGATTGAATAAATAGTTGCATTGTGTGTTTATTTTGTTCACTGTACAGAGTTCTTTTTGATAAACGGGTGGCTCTATGTTTTAATAAACAAATGAAATTAATAAAAATTAGTTGTTAATGTCTTAACAGGAGATTCAATAGAATGTGACTTAATCTGGAACAAAGCCAAATAAGTACTCTGTTTATTTCTCTACCTTTAGAAAATCAGAAATTGAGTATTATGCTATGTTGGCCAAAACTGGTGTGCATCACTACAGTGGCAATAATATTGAACTGGGAACAGCTTGTGGGAAGTACTACAGAGTATGTACACTTGCTATAATTGACCCAGGTATGTATATCGTATTTAGTATTTCAGTGTCTGTATAAAGCTGTTATTTTAATTCGATATGCCTTTATCTTGATCTATTCACTAGGATTCTCTTATCAATTTTATTGAATTGAGAACTCTGCACTTCAATATGCTAATATAAAATCAATAGTATTTGTAAAGCAAATATCGTATAATCTTATTTCATATGTGGTTTAAGAATTATCAAATAACATGATGTGTGTATCTGTCAGGCTTTTAGTAAATATTTATACTTATATATAAGGTAATTACCATATTTTTCACATTATAAGATGCACCTCACCATAAGAGGCACCTAGATTTAGAGGAGGAAAACGGGCAATGACAAAGACAGAAGAGGCGAGGTTCAGCACTGTAAAAGGACCCATATTTTTCGCTCCATAAGACGCACAGACATTTTCACTCACTTTGGCGGGGGGGGGGGGGAGTACGTCTTATGGAGTGAAAAATACGGTACGTTGAGGCTAAATGAGTTGTTTGAATCAGTAAACACAGGTAGTGCTCAACTTAAAACAGTTCATTTAGTCACCATTCAAAGTTACCGTCCCACTGAAAAAAGTGACTTATGACCACTTTTCACATTTAAAATTGTTGTAGTATCCTCATGGACTCAAAGTTTTGTCAGTTGCAGTCTCCCGGTGTTATTCAATCACCTTTTGTGACCTGACAAGCAAAGCTAATGGGGAAGCCAGATTCACTTAACAACCATGTTATTAACTTAACAGCTGCATTCACTTAACTGTTGCAAGAAAGATGGTAAAGTGGGGCAAAACTCTTAAGTGGTTATAAAATAAAAACAAAATAAGAGGCAGTCTTAAAGATAGTGTGCCTCAAAGTATATCTGGCATCTCTTCAATTGTTTCCTAAAAATGAGAACCTGGGACAAGTCAAACGAGACTAGGGAGAGAGGTCCATAACTAAGGCTTTTTCACTGGGAAAGGTCAACTTCTGGCTGTTGCCCCATGAACCGTTGATGGAAATACCATTAGATTCCCTTCTGATCTTAACTCATGATTTCCTTGGGAACATGATAGTTTGTTACTTAAACTTTAATATGTCAACATCTTAAAATGTAAACACAAAAAAGATTTATATTGTCACTAAAATAACCTTTGTCCTGATCAGAAGAAAATCTGTTTGTCAGGGGGACATTGAAATTGATACCTGACCTGTAGGTCCAGTGGAGCAAATAATTTTAGAATTAAGCATCTGGTAACTAATAAAGTTCATTCTTTGCTGTATGGGTTCTTAAAGAAGTAATTTATCAGAGGCTAAGGATTTAAACTATGTATTGGATGTGAGAAGTTAATTTATCTTGATGCAAAGTTAAATGCGAATATTCTCGCTGTTCTGGTTTGTACAGTAATCAGAGCAGGCTAGACATTCGCTATATTACCACTTTGCACTGTGTCTTCAGGACTGGTTGGTCTCCCTAGTTCTGATTTTTACCTGCAAATTACATTAACTGATTGAACTTTGTAGTATGATCTATCATTGGGAATATATTCAGATAAGGTTATCAAGAAAATTTTTGTAATACAGTATACTGTACATGACAAAAGTGTTTGTAAAATTCTGATACTGAAGTATGATGTTTTTCCCAACAGGTGACTCTGATATCATTAGAAGCATGCCAGAACAAACCAGTGAGAAGTAAAATTAATAAACTTTAAATTTTGTGTAATAAAACTGGCTTTAAATCTGTTGTTGGTATGAGTTTTTATAAGTCAGACACAATAAGTTGTATGGAATGTTTGAGGGAAAAATCAACTAGTAACGGTCTAAATAAAATAATTTAATTAGGAGTTAAAGACCAATAGGATTAAAGAATACAGCCATGTTTGACTTAATTGAATTTTGTATTTATCTGAAAGGGAGAGATGACATTTTAAAAAATACAAATACAAACTCCACAATATCCAGATTTCTCATCAGTCTTAGAGCACCTACTTCATAAATGTGCATGTACATATGTAAGCATATTCAGATTGTACACAGCATTTGAAAACTAGCAGAGGTCTTTAAACCTGGTTAATTTTATGATTAGAAACCATCTAGAGTCACTTAGTTGTATAAATGCAGGAAGGAGGGAACCAACCAACCATCTTCTAATTAGGACTATACAGTGTTTAATACTCCATATGGGGGAAAATTCAAATGTGCTGAGAGATTTCCAACGGTAGGAGCTGCTACTGCTGCAGAATAGAAAAAAATGCTAGGGTGGCCATAGATAAAAGGAAATAAGTGTGCTAGGAAGAGAGAAAAGAGTAAACAATTGAGGCTAAAATGAGGGCAAGAAGAAAAGCCTTGTTTAAATATTATAGAAAAAGTAAAATTCAGCAAGCAAACACTTCATCATCTAAGCAACTGTTAAACGTCAAAAATAATTCATCCTTTGCATCAGCCTTTAGTCATTTGAATCTCATTCTATTTCTATATTATATCAGTAAGGGTAACTTTCCTTTTCCTTATTTGGGGGAACCTCTGCATATTAATAGTAAATAAGGATATAGTTAAACAAATTCATCTTTTTATTTAGAGCAAGAAAGCCAGACAGAATAGCTTATGAACACCTGAAAGAAAAACAATAAATGGTGGGAAAAGATTATTGGACATAATTTATTTTTGGCATAATTCAGAGCTAAGGCACTTGATTTATTCTGAAATAGTACTATGATTCATTCTAGAATGAATTAATTTTCCCTCATGGCTATCAATTCCTCCAAGATCTGTTGGCCAACACTGTTAGAATACTTGTATGATACATCTGTTTGAGAATAATTTTTTAAAACTAAGGTATTCAAAATTTTGGTATGTGATTCTAGCAATAAAATAACATTTTATACATTATATCCCATAACCCTATCCCACATATACTTAGTCATTAACATGAATGCAGGGAATGTGCCTCAAATACGCTGCTTGCTTCTTCCCAATTTCCCTATCATCAATCACTTATTGGAAAAAGTGCTGACTGTAGGAAGAGTCTAAAGCACAGAGAGATTATTTGCTATTACTTTAGATATTAGCATTACTGCTACATGAGAAGCATAGGAACACCATTCTAACTTAACATTTGACTGCATCCAGTCAGTATATTATTACAATGAATAGTGAACTTTCCAGATTTCTAAATAGTAAAAATTGCCTTTTATACCAATATTTTACAATATAGAGCTGCTTAATTGAAAAAAATAGTTTTCTAAACATTTTGTAATTTTATCTTAGTCAATGCAAAAATACAATATTACATGATACTCTAAATTACTGAAATTATAAATTCTTTTTGTGCAAAACACCTGCTTACATAGCTTTGATATATTTTTGTGTGTAAATATCCAACAAATGTATATTGCTGCTAAGGCCATTTTATTAGTATCTTAATCGATTTTCCAGTGCTTCTATTCTTTTTGACATTTCTTCCAGTAATTTCAAGTTAAGGAAAACAATTCCAGACTGCTTCAGTATTTAATATTGAGAATATCTACACATATAATGGACAAGCTTGGAAAATATACAGTTACTTCTTTTAAAATGAAAAACCCTGAAATTAGTCAGTTAGCTATGTATCTGTAATTGTATTTCCAAAAATCCAGTACTGATTTAGTTCTTTGACATTTCATTTTGGCAATGGGAAGGGTGTTTTTGCTATAAATAGCTGAGAGTTAGAAATCCTCACTGAGCTACTGAAGATAAAGAAATGGTACAAGTGGAACTTAAAATTCTCTTCTGCCCATAAAGTATTCAAATAATTCTGTTATAAACTCTAATGCAATTGTTTTAACCATGGTATAAATTATGTGGGAAAGTACATTGTCACATGAACAGTAATATCCTGTTTGTGGTTTTTCCAAAGGCATCAAGTGAAACAGGATAAACACCCAATCTTATGTTCAAATATGAAACACACACACAAAAATCAATAAAGTTAGGCTTGTGGAATGAATGCTAAAGAATTATCATGATGTCACCTGTTGAGTTCTTGCAAACACCACTTTAGATGTCCATTTCTGTGTTGGCAGTTAAATGACTTAGTTGTACTTAGAAAATAATCAGAACTGGCTTAGACTGAGGCTTCTCTCTAAGAACATAAGATCATCACTGTGAAAAAGAAACTTGCAGACTTCTTTTGGCACCATTATTTAGGCCAGCAATTTTTGCTAATACCATGTTTCCCTGAAAATAAGCTGTAGCCTGATTTTTAAGTGCGCCTAATATAAGCCTTACTCAAAAAATAAACCCTATTGATTGTCACCAGCCCGAAGGAAGTATCCAATACTGGAAGCAGCGAGGGTGTGGGGTCCAATGGTATTGCAGCAGCCGAATGCACAGCACAGGTAAGTTGATTACCTGTCCAAGCAGCAGGTGGAGGCAGAGGTGGGGAGGAGGCAGGCAATCCAGATGTGCTGTTTGGGCCATGGGAAAGCCGAGTTGGGCTACAGCAGGCAGCCAGAAGCTCATCTTCGCTCAGCAGCAGATGGAGACGGGGGGGGGGGGGGGGGGGGGGAGGCAGGCATCTGGATTGCATGTTTCCCTTCCTGTGCCTCTGCCACTGTCTGCTGCTTGGACAGGTAATCAACTCACCAGTGCTACGCAACCCCAGAGTATGCTGACCAAGCGGCTGATGGCCTGCAGCTGCTGCAGGACGTTGGTCTCTGTGCTCACCATCTTTTGTGTGCTGGGGGGGAGCGCCCAGCCAGGCTGATCACCCTGAAATCGTGTTTCTCCAAAAATAAACCCTAGTGCTTATTTTGGAGCCCCCAAAATATAAGACCGGGTGCTATTTTTGGGGGGTATTCATTTCCTTTTTACTGTTGCCAGTTCTGTTCCCATTCAATTCTGAAAGCCAAGACCTGGAAACAGCTGTTTTTGCGTAGGAGGATTGGTGAAAATAGCTTATTCAGCCTTTTCTAAAGTTGGTAAAACATTCAAACACAATTTGATACCACAATTTGACTGTATAGACAACAATTTAGCCTTTAAAACATGAATCTTAGCCACCTCATCTACCTTTTGAAATATTTTTATAATCAGAACAACAGCTAAAATGGAATATGGAACAACTAAATACTTCAAAATTGGAAGTAAAAGTTCATGTAGAACATGAAAATTGCTGGGCCAGAAATAAAAGTTGAAATTAAAATTGCTGGGAGCAACAACTTCAGATACCAGTTTGATGGCTGAAAGCAGGTAAATTAAATGCCATACTATAAGTGAAAAAATATGCAAAACCTAGTTAATTAAAAAAACCTATCTGAACATGAATTGTCATTGCAAATAGACAAACAGCTGAACTAGTAACAGTCTTCCTACACTCAAATGTTTGAAGGGATGGTGACTGTAGCCATAAAATAGACATACTTGGGAGAATGACTGGCTGATCCAGATCAAATATAAAACGGATATCACCTTGACATCAAAAATATGCATTATCAAGGCTTTTATTTTAACAATTATGGCTTTAAAAGCCTGATTTTTTTCTTCAGAAAAGATGGAACAAAATGCCTTGGACATGTAATGTTAGAGCTATGGCTAATCTAAGGCACCAAATTTTAGGATGTGTTAATACTGCCTCTTCCTAGAAAATCAATCTAAAAATACAAATCTTCACATGGGTGGGAAGTGGCACCATCGGTCAACATGGCCAATGGACACTATATACCTGCAGCAAAAATCATTGGAAAACATTCAAATGATTGGAAGAATCAACGGCAGTTGAAACTGGCCAATAGAAAATATTTTGGATAGATACTGCCAATGACAGTAATGAGTTTATTTAAAGAAATAATCACCAACAATCTTAATGATACCCTTCAGGTCATATAAGGAGCCAGCTGAACAACAAACTACATTATATAAACTGCCATTCTGTATTTTCAAACTGCAGCTAGAGGGGGCTTGTGCTTCAGCATCATCATTAATGTTCTTAAAGAGTGATGCATTAGCTACACTGTACTAGTAGGCCAAATACTTATGGTACTGCCATTCATGAAAAGATATCAAAACCAATCCTAACATTTAATATTATTCATCATCATAATTCCCTCTATGTACAGAAACGCCAACAGATTGGAACAAGAACAGAATATGAGAAAATGAATAGTGCATTTGTACCTAAACCATATAAAGTTTGCCAGAGGGCTCCAGATTTGGCCTGCAAAAATCCAATGAATTGCAAAGAAATAAGCTCTTTGTTGCCATCTAGTGGTCAACTGGTCTCAAGCAGCCAAATTCTGCAAGATATTTTCAAATAACTAAGGGGAAAAAAGTACTGTATTATGGCTTGGCAACAGAAACAAGCCTTCAAGACCAATTTTATCTCCATTGAAATGGGCCTGATCAGTTTGATCGTGCCAGGAAAAGCAGCTGGTGGTTCCATTTTTTAGAAGTTAGAGTAACCAACTTCCATTGTTAGCCAAACCCTCTGGAATAGCCTTCTATGAGAAGCATGTTTGGTTTCAATCCTAGCCATCCATCAGAACTTTCTTAAAACAACTTTTCTAGAAAACTTTTAAGATTTAAACCTACAGTAGGTGTTTTTCGAAAGCAGTTTTGTCTATTTTTTATTCTTGGGTTTTACATTTAAATTGCTGCCTTTTTGTGGGTGTGTGCCTTCAAATCATCATTGATCCCTGGCATTGTTTTTGCAAGATCTTTATGGCTTGCTGTTGCATTCCTAGGGCTGCGAAAGAGTGACTATGTCAACTAAAAAGATACTCCTTTGGTCTTTTTAGCTGCCAGAGAAAAGAGAGTGGGGGAAAACAAGGCATTCTTGAAATGCCTAGATAATCACCCCAGCAGCCCAAAGTTGTTGGATCATAGGAAGATTATTGGAGAGCATATTGGAGATGGATGTGTCCCATTGGAGGGGTCGCATCCAGTGGGTGGGGGAAAATGTATGATGTAATTTAGTATCGGCCGCAACCAGCTTACACCGACATGGCCACACCTGATAAATCAATTTACATTTCTCTGAGATGCGGCTAGAGACTTTTGATTTGAATGAGGGTGGATTTGTTGGAGTCCTGACAGACTAACTTAAGACCACTGAGTTGGCTTTGTGACTAAAACTCGGTCTCCTAGTTTCTAGCCTGGTACTTAATGAATATAGCAGACTAGCTCTATGAGCTGCCTAAAGTTCCTATATAATTGTGATAGGTATTAATGTGATAGATAGCTAGATAACTAGAGTAAGTATGTAAGTAAGTACAGTGTTACATAGAAGACAGGCAGTAGCTAGGAGTCAATACTAATGTGAAGGAACACATAATTACATATAATTAATAGCTGGCAAGGTAACTCCCACTAATTAATTTCCTTACCATGGAATAAGATTGGGTTTAGGCACAAAGTGTGTTTGGACAGATAACTAGACCAGCACTTTAAAATTGATTGAGGAAGTTTGTATGCCTGTATTCAAAGACAGCCCTGCTGTTAGCTGATAGTTGGGCTTCTTTTGGTCACAGAATTAGTGCTATTCCAACAAAAGCTATCTGGAACGTAACTGCCAGGTATGGGGAGAACTGCACTATGGAGTAACAAAGATTAGACATTATCTCTCTCTCTCTCTCTTCTCCCCCCACCACCGCCCCTCTCTCGCAATCAACTGTATTTCGCTACATGGAAATAGAAATATAATTCATTTTCAAATATATTGACTTGAAAATCTATATGAAAAATGAATAGATATACAGAAAGGATATACTGCTGAATTAGTTTCCTAAATTCAGTGGTTGCAAAATTCTGGAAATTTGTAAGATTCTCACATTTGCATTGGTCTTTCTTGTCATCTGAAGGATTTGCTTGAAAAAAAATAGGTGGGGTGTATTTAGTTAAATAGTAAGAAGAAATATATTTTCATTACAAGAACAAAATCACTACAAAATCTATTTTGTTTTTAGTCCATTGAACTCTTTGGAAAAATGGAATTCATGGAATGACAAAATAATTTTAGAAGTTTCTTTCTCTGTCTTTTTAATTGCTGCAGGAAAACAGAGACATCTGAGATTAAAATGAGGATTGCTCCACGCAATGCATGTATTTTAATACTGAGTTATGGTAACCACTATAATAAAAGTGCAATTGCTCAAGGTTTAGATAAGAAGACTAATTATAAACAAGAGTTTCAGATTATTAAATGGAAACTAAATGGTTATATATTTACAAACAAAAAGACACATCATAAGTAGGAAAGTGCCTTTTTCTACAACATATATCCCAAGAACCCTAGGGTATCACAGTAGATGCATAGTACAATTGTTTAATATGACATAATACAAATTATTATAGTTATACAAAGTAATGGATGGTCTAAATGGAAATAAAATTTACCTGAAGCTTTTGTCCATAATTGCTTTTCTTTAAAAAGATATTTATGATGCACAGCAAAATTGGAACAGGAAAGAACATCTGTAATTGCTAAGGTAGATGCTTCAGGTTCTACAGAGGACAACACAGTGAGATCAGAAGTGAGATTATATTTCATCCTCTTATGAAGTGGTTTCTTTGTGTGTATATTTCAAAAAGAACCAGCCTGATGGTGGATATTAAGCAGTATAAAGCTTTGCATGATAATTTCTGGATTAGAAATATTAATCTGGACAGAATAGAATTAGTACGTGTGGTAAATATGGCTTTTGATTGCATTTGCGCGTATTGACAAAATGTGGCAAAACTGCTGCTGTTTTTACTGTTATCAGTAACTATTAGAGTATATGTGGCACAGGTGTCACTAAAAAGGATAACCTATTCTACACTTTCTGTATCTAATTAAGAAGTTGTCAAAAGTATTATAATAAAAATGATACAACATTAGCTTTTCTTCTAGCCATGGCAGAGTGTAAAAGAATCAAACTGAATAAAAACGACATGCACACACTGATAATTTCAAACCTTCAGAAAGTAAATTCATTGAATGAAGCCGATTTGTTGTTTCCTGGTAATGCTTTAGATCTAGAAAAAATAGTGTCAAAATGAAACAAAATACGACTTATTGCCAAATGCAGTCAGATCATGATAGTCAACTACAATCAAGTCACATTATTTTACAAATGGTCCTATATAGTTATAGTAATATATCATAATGCAATGTGTAAAAAGGGAAGGATTTTTGTGGAGTTTTAAGCTGTATATGTCATTTTTGTTAAATTAACTGAAGTAAGATACTTTATGATTTTGGCCTTAAAATAAAGTTATACACTTTTTAAGTGATAGATTAAAGAAATCTTCCTACTAGTTTATTGCTCATTGTGTTTTACATATATTCCAGCAGTTACGCAGATGTGCAGAAGGAATGGGCAGATTTATTTATTTTAATGTCTTAGTCATCCAAATCCAATGGACTCCCAAATTTCTATCTGTGTTAATTTTATATTGTTTCTTGTGTAGAATATCATGTAGTGCTTACTTAGTACCTTCACAGATTCTTTTCTGCAGTTTTTCAGTGATCTCTTCCATGGCTTTGAATTCCTGAGCATGAAAAATATGTTTTTCAACAGGTTCAGAAGCAATTGCTCGTAATTCTTCCTCAATCAATTTCCCTATTCCAACAGCATATATAATGATTCCTAAAAATGAAACGTTTAATTTCATAATACAGTTCAAGATTGAGATAAGCACTATTAATAAAAAAGAATTGAATTCAAAAATTTATCTACAGACGATATTTCAAAAGCAACAATAAAATGCAAGAGTTCTAATTCAGATGAAGCAAGTTATATTTAATATCATAGAAATCAACTGGGCAAATTAATTCTGATTAAGCTAAGTCCTATTATTTTCATTTACTATGATCAAAACCAAAATATAGTGTCCCTCAAATTTCTTACGAAGTTATGTCTAATTTTTTTTGGTGTAAAATTATGTATTTAGTCATTGCCTATTACTGTTACTATGACTGCAGAATCATAGTCAGGGGAGTCTCAAATATAAATGAATTCATTTAGACTAGCATTCTATAGGCAAATGTGGCTTTGGAAACTGAAAATTTATATTGAGTCCATTGTAAGATTTCCAAACCTTCCTTAACATCAAACATCAACATCAAACATCAAGTATGCATTTCACTCCTAGAGATTCTTCAGAATCCTTCTTCTAGAAGTTAATAAAAAAATTACAGATTAAAAAAGATGCTATATATAACTTTTGCAGCTTTCTTTTGTATTTCTTTTATTGTTTACACTTCTAATAAATATTCATCCTACCACTTTGCTTTGCTTTAGCTGCCCATTCAGAAGCATCATCTTGGGCGCGTCCATCTGTAAACACAACTGACACCCTGGGAACATTTGCTGAGACGTGCCTGGCTCCTTCTGCTTCAGTGAAGCTTCTCTCAGTCATCTGTTTCAGTGCAAGTCCAGTCATGGAGCCTTTCCCCATGTATTTAATTTGTGTCACTGCTTTCTTCATATCTTTGGCTGTGTTGAATTGTTTCAGTGTGAATTCTGTGTGAACGTGGCTGGAATACTGCAACAAACCAACACGAGCAGCTTTGGGAGATATTGTAAGAGAGTCCAAAATTCCTAAGACAAATTCCTTGACAATTTCAAAATTATTTTCTCCTAGACTTTTTGATCCATCTATCACAAATACCAGATCAATTGGTCCTTCATTACATCCTGTTAAAATAAAATGAACAAATGGAATAATGGAATATTGTCAGCGAAATAATCTATTTCTCCAACTTAAGAATTTATCATATTCATAACATTTAATGGAATTGCAAAGGTATTTACATAAAAATAAATTAAAAGTCATCAATATCAACATGTTTTTGCTAAAAAATGGCAAAACATCAAAACAAGTTCTTGTTTTTTAATCTCTGCAATGAGGATCTGATCAGTGGAGGAAAAAATTGGTCAAGCTGAATGAAAAGCCTTTCCTCATTTATACTTACAACAGGAAAAACATGCTCAAGCAGTGTTTTATTCATTTATTAATCAAATTTATATAGCTGCCTATCTCGCAAAAAATGATTCTGGGTCGTGTGCACAACACTTTTTTAAACCATATCATTACAACATTGCTTTACCTGAAACATCTGAAGTTCTCAAACCACTCTGTCAAGCAGGTGATCCCATGCCAATGATTACTTTAGGGTGTTGCAAGTATAGCTCCTCCCTCTGGTCAACTTCCAGAATCATTCTGCTTTGGACAGTGAGAAAATCTGGCTCTTTCAAGCCAGGCTCTCTTCTTATATCTGCCATATATAGGAACCAACTCAGCTCAGAGACATGGCTTTGAAAGAGGGTTCAATCTAAGTAGCACCTAACCACTAGCAAAAGCTTATCCATAAAGTAGCAGAGAGAAATCTCTGATGCTTCATGATGCAATCCTTCTGCCACATCTCACCAATTGCTCTTGTTGAAAGAATGGGTAGTGCAAACTAATTAAATACAATAAACAATAACTATGTTAACTAGTTCTAAGTTAATTGAAATTACCTTACTGTAACTTAATTCTAATTTCATTAAAATCACTTTCAGTTTCTAACTTAGTCCTAGTATTGCTTTTTTTCACTAGCTTCACTTATTTTTGGATGAGAGTTCTTAGAATATTACTCAAATATCAAGTGCAGTTCTCCTTAAAAATTGCCCATGTTTGCACTGAGCTGTAGTTTAATATATCCAAATATGGTCAGGATCTCTTTTGAGAGAGACTTCCTTCCAGCAATAAAATAAATAATAATGGGAGTGATAGATATAAATTACTTACTTTTGCATGTTTTCCCATCATTCCATAATATAAATCCTTCATGGCATTTGCAGACATATGAATCATTAGTATTAACACAGATATGTTCACACCCATGGTCAATGGACTTGCAGACATCTTTATCTGGGTACAATTAAAGAGATTTCTGGTAAAAACTTTCTAAAGATATGATATACTAAAAACATTATTTTCTATAGTACTTACTTCTTAGCTGTATATGCAAGCTGGATTTCAAGAGAGTCAATTTCTACAAGTTTAGAACATACTGGAGAAGAAATTGTCAGATCAAAGGAAGCCATGGGAGGCTTGGAAATTTCTCAAAAATAAAATATTGAAAGTATAATCATATATCATATTAATGGGGAAAACATGGGATGGAAATCATAGGAAATACAGAGGGACAGGAAATTTTTGACCTAGGTAAGTCAAAAAAAGTCAAGCAAAGGAAACAAACCACCAAGTAGCTTATATTCCCATAAAAATTTAAAAATATAAAAGAAATTTAGGCTTGCAAGTAAAGCTAATGAAAGATGGTTTTGGGTTTTTTGCTATTATCTGTAGTAAAAAGAAGAAAAGGGAAGCAATGCAGTCACCTGTAGAAGATGGTAATATAACAGGTTAGGAGATAATAACAAAGCTCAACTCTTTGCTTTGTTCTTCTCCCCAAAGAGGAACTGTTCAAATAAAGCTAAGTAGAGCAATTGACACAAAGAGAGAATAAGCAAGTGAAAGCAAATAATGAGACATTTAGGGAACACTCAACTACTGTAAATGAGATTAAATATCCTAGACCAGATTGATATCTAACTGTCCTAAAGCAATCGGATGAAGTTATCCTGGACCCTTTTCTGTTATCTTTGAGCAATCACAGAGGTATGTAATGTCATAGAGAAAGGCAAATCTTGTTGCTTTTTTCAAAAATGGGGAAAACGTATTTGGGTAACTACAGGCAAGTTGGTTTATTACTGATACTGAACAAAACTTCTGACACCAAATAAATAACTAAGCAGTCATTTTGTAAGCATTTAGAAGAGATAAAAATATTCTCCTCTACATTCTATATTGACCAGAATACACTTAAAATATTGTATTATAATATTATGCATCTACAATATTGTATCAAATTCTGGGCATTACAAAGATATTGACAAACTGAAAGTGTCCAGAGGTGAGCAACCAAAATGATGAAGGGCCTGGAAGGAAAAAGTTATGAGTAAAGCTTGAAAACCCTGGAGTATGTTTAGCTTGGTGAAGAGAAACCTGCAAGTAGGTATGGTAACACTCTTCAAATTCCTGAAGGGATGACATACGTAAGATGATAAGAATTGTTCAGAGTTAGCCTAGAAGACAGATAAGGAAAAGATGGATTTAAATCCTACGGAAGCAGATTTTGATTGGACTTTAATCTTTTTGGTAAAAGTTGTTCAACCGTGAAATAGACTTCTTTAGGGGCATGAAACCTATTCATTCCTTTTTTAGTATGATAAATTATCTTCAGGGATGCTTGCTTACTTCTGCAGGTTCTTCTATCCTTGTTTAGTATGAATCCTTCATGACACTTGCAAACATATGATTCACCATCACTGTCACAACGTTGCTCACATCTATGGTCCACCCATTTACAAATATCTGTACCTGAAAACAATTGACAATGCAACATTTTAAATTGACAAAAATACATGTTAAAACAAACATCTATGGGTCTGGTTCCCAGCAGCTCTTACCTCATAATCCCTATTTTTATTCCTTGTCTTATTTCACAAATCTCAAAAAAGCAGAGCAAAGCAAAGCAAAAGCAAAAGCAAAAGCAAAACCTTAGCCAGGTCAACATCTATTTCCTGCCAATAAGATACTATTTAATTTATATAGGGGCTATAGTTATTCAATAACTGCAGTTTTGTTATGAATGACAGGCCACACTGACATTCATAGTCAACACATTTCCATGCCAGACAGGCTCAGAGTTCTATCAACCTTTACAAGTACAGATATGTGCTTTTGGTCACATTCAAAATCATAATTTCCCAAGCTCTTCCCTCTGTTGAATTTAGGAGAATTGAATCCATTTGAAACAAAGAAAGAAAATGTTCACCAAAATGTGGGATTTTACATTTTTTTTCAAGGCCTCAGAATCAACTGATTCAAATTTCTAGGTAGAAAGGAAAATCCACATAAAGAAAAGCAACAAAAACACTTGTTTTAAGAATCCTATTTATTTTTACGAAAAAAATGTGAACATTTCAGCCAGGAACCAGCATTAGACATTTTTGCTATTGTTAGTTAATCTTTGTTGTCTTTTGTAATATCTCTGATCAAGGTCAGGAATTCTGTGTATTTCAGGTATTTCATGTATTTATGCATATCCTCAGTTTTGCATGAAGTTTTTAAATTTCTTTCAAGTTTCATATGATTTATAATGCATCTCTTTTTTATGGAGTCTATGGGATAGTAAACTAGTCTTTAGGGGACCAGTACCATCTAGAGGTATAACTGGAACATTACATATACTTTTAAAACCTTTCTTTTCCTTGGTGATTGGATTTTTAAAAAGACATTTACTTTTTTAAAATAAAATTTGATTTTGTTTATCTGTGATATAAGTAAATTGAAGAGCTGGTATTTCCAGTTACTTACCTTCATTTCTTTCTTTCATTTTCTTATTTTTATTTTTTCACTGCCATTATATCAATATGGGATATATTGATATATACATTGGGTATAGGGACAGGGTGCCAAATATGGCACCTTCAGAAGATTTTGTAAATGGAAGCAGTGGTAATTATCAAGCAGCAACAAAGAACAGAGTAGGAGGTGGGACAAGGATGAGTATTCTCAGTGGTATTCTGGGAGAGTATGTTTGAAACTTTCAGACTTTTACTGTGCAAGTTCAGCCATGCTACAAGTTTATTAATTTATTTTGTGCAATATATGTTTAAGGGCAAAAAGATACAAAAGCAATTCAACTAAAATCAAGCTTACGTTTGCAGGCTTTCCCATCACTCTGAAGTACATATCCTTCAATGCACTGGCAAATATAAGATGTTCCTGTGTTCACACATAAATGTTCGCAGCCATGGTCATTCAGCAAACAATAATCTGCTCCTGAGGACCAGTTTAAGAATTATTTAATTATTTATTTAGGTATAATACTCTATAATATGCTGTTTAAAAATTTGTTGGGTTTAATTGTCCCTATTTGTTTTGTGAACAAACTGATTGGGATGGGAATGGGAGTTGGGAGGGTGGTATTTCTTTACTGTAGTCACAAACAGCCCTGGTTTATTTGGGGCTAAAGTAATTGTTCTGTGAACCATTTCCTCTTAAATTAAAGGTTTATTTATCCTTTCCTGGTTTAAATAAAGAGACAGATTCCTAGAGAAGATAAAAGAAAACAAATGTATTCTGTAGCAAATCTGTTTTCTTTTAATTTCACCTGTGCCCAAATCCAGGTGAAAAACTGGCAAACGGTGTTTCTTTTAAACTACTCCATCATTGGAGGTGAGCCCACTAGATATGAGAGTGCCTGTCCTAATATTATGTTACCATGATGAGTGATGGACTGGATCTCTACCCCATCCCTAAGGGGGTATCCTTAAGGGGGGTATATAATTTTAAAAAGATATAAAGAAATTAAAAAGGAACAAGAGGAAGAAATTGAAGACAAGATAAATGGAATGAAGATTGAATAATATTTCAAATCCTTATCCTGATTTATTATATGAAATATACTATATTATATGTCAGTTCCAAACCCTGTCTGAGGACGGACAGAGGCCACATATAGACCTTGGCATATCTCATATTTTAGGAAAAACTAGCTTTAAGAAATCTTTAACAGAGAAATGGATTATTTTGATAATCAATTGTTTGATGAATCCATGAAACAATGGTATCTTTAACAAACTGAAATGTTTCTCAATGAGTAGTAAACATATGGAGTCATTGGTACTCTGAGTATGGTTGTTTGCTTGCAGATAATTCATTACGTGATTAAATAAAATCACCAGTGCTAGTGAGTGTGGCATTTGCTCCCTGTATATGTACACTAGCTTGCCCTCCCATTGTTGGGGGTGTGGTTTTCACCTTGGTAGAACCTTGATTTGCATACTCCTTTGTGCTTTTTTATCTGACATTAATCCTTGCTTATCTAGATAGTGGCAGCTGGTGAGGATGTGTTTAGCTGTGCATATTTCATATGGATTTAGTATATCAGTATATCACTTGAGTTGCATATACTTAAACTTCCACAAGTGGCTACATTTACTGACACCTGTGACAAGGCCTTCTTACAATAATTCAAAAAAGAATAGTAATACCTTATCTTTGTTTTGAAATACACTCTTCCTTTTATTTCTATTTGTTTTCTTCTTCTTTACTTCTTTCTATGAAATTTACTGATGTGTTTTCTTAATGGAATCACATTTTGTGGAAAATATCTCTTCCTATATCTCAGTTCCATTGCATTTCTGAGTAGTTTGCCAATGCTTTCCTTGACCATTTAATCAAATCACTGCTTAATAATGTGAAAGTCTACTTGAATAAAGCTTTGCTAGAAATGATGGAAAATAGTCTAAGCACTATTTTGTTTAATTTTATAGAATATCTCAGGCAAGAAACTTACGTGAACAAGTTTTCAGATCCTCATTAATGATGAATCCTTCAGAGCACTGGCAAATGTAGGATTCTCTGGTATTTAGACAGAGTTGTTCACACCCATGATTGAACTCAGCACAGTGATCTATTCCTGAATTGTTGTGTTGAGCAGTAAAAGAGAAAACACTTGAATTTTCAAGCTATAAAATATCCAGATATTAAAACTTCAGAAACAGAATCAGATACAAAATAGTTTTTTTAAAAATTTTCATTTCTACAAGTAGTAGCATCTGTCACAAATGAAAAACTTTCTTACCAGTAATTTATAAAATTGCAAACCAAGAGAGTTTTATGTATCAGAGATATCCCAAAAAATTAAATGTAGACACCCATAAATAACAAAAAAGTTGTAGGCATTCTCACTATTTTGGCAACCATCTATATTTGAAAAATAAAGATAAGGTAACCAAACATTAATTTGTTCTTCTTTTTTGGGCTTTACAGTAAATCTATTATTTGTGGAATAAGCAAACTTATTAAGTCACTTAAAAAGTTAACTTAAAAGGCACAATATTGTTATAGCCAACATATTCCTAAGGGACACTGTTCATATGAAAATTAATTCTGATATGCTAATTTACTACTTCAAATAATTTAACTTACTTCTGCATGTTTTGCCATCACGGTTTAGAATGTATCCAGTTTGACATTTGCACATATATGATTCTTCAGTGCTAACACATTCATGCTGGCAGCCATGTTTACCTAAACTGCACATATTTATTCCTATGGAAAGAGAAATCTAATAAGCATGTCAGGTAAAAATGCTGGAAAACAATGTAATTTTTAAAACATTGATTAATAATCAGCATATATAGCTATTAAAACCTTCACCTTTCATTTACCTTTTCATTTCCCAGAAAGCAAAAGTGAAATTAAAAATTACCTGAGGCTCTTGAAGGCAGTTGTGTTTGTGCACGAAGGAGCATCAAGAGGACTAGAGTTTCCAAAACTTTGGGGACTGCTATTTAAATTTGAGGATGGGCTTTCAGATTGAGTTTTACTGAGGTTGGTAGGCCTGGCACTGTACAGTGAACTTGAGTAATTGCAGAGACTCACAGCTAGTGAGTCTATTGGTATGATGACAGCCCTGCTTCAGGCCTTTAGTGGCCATAACTGCTGTTTAATTGTTCCAAATGCCTTGGCGTGGGAAATTCATTACTCTAATCTACCTTGGATAAGCCCAGGGATCGGATTCAAATTTTTTAACAACTAGTTCTGTGGGCGTGGCTTAGTTGGTGGGCGTGGCCAACTCAATATCACTCACATCGAGGCACGCATCTCCTCGCCTGGCCTCTCATGACTGTGGGGATGCTGCAACAGTCATAAGTGTGAAAAATGGTCATAAGTCACTTTTTTCAGTGCCATTGTAACTTTGAATGGTCACTCCACACAAGCAAAGTACCAGCAAAGGAGAGGAAAAAAACTCCAGAGAAGTTCCTGAGACAGGAAGTCTAATCCTGCCAAGAATGTAATAAGGGTTAATGGAGAGGCAGTTTCTGTAAGCAACACCAGAATGTTTCCTTCCTGCCTTCCTTACAGGATTAGGCCTGTAATTTCTTCTAACAACCGGTTCTCCGAACTGCTGAGAATATTAACAACCGGTTCTAGCGAATAGGTGCAAACTGGTAGAATCCCACCCCTGGATAAGCCTATGTTGGATTTAGTACAAAAACAGGATAGCAGTTACCTTGTTTTTTGTTTACATAAGGCATTAGAACAGTGGAGTTTTTTTGAAAAATTAAGATAATTATGAAAATATTTGGGTATAAAATATTAGACAGATTATCTGCTTCTGGTGTCAATTCAACACTGAAACAATTTTTAATTTGGAAAGCTTTTATATGGTACAGAAAAGGGTAGGCATTTTTTATCTATTGAGAGCACTTTCTCAGGAGTAATCTGTCTCAAGCAACATTTAAATGATGAACAGATCTATAGCAAATAATAAGTGGGTCTTAATCTTTCTAAGACTTTCTTCCTCGTATCCTTGTTTTTATCTCATTTCAGTTCTTTTTGATACTCAATTCTAAATAGCAATTCTAATAAGCAAATAGGCAGAAAATGAATAGTTAATTTTTCTGAGAGCTTTAATTGCTTATGAAATTAGACTGAGCGTCACAGATAGTCTTAAGACCCCAGTTCCCACCACCCTGCTATAGTTTTAATTTCAGACTTAAATATAAGTCTGTGACATTTCTGGTAATCTGCTTTATTGACATGGTGTTGCATCAGTTTCCTATTTAAGAAATGTAAAATCTGTTCTAATCATCCAGGCCTTGGCTATCACATTTATTTTTCCCCCAAAAAGTGTTTAGATTTTGGATTGGATAGAACTCCAAGAAAAATGGAAATTGTTCCCTAGGAAGACTTTTTATGTATATGTTGTACTCTAATTGATACACAGCTTTTGATAACATAAGAAAGTATATACACAAGTACTTGAATAAATAAATATTGTCTGTACATATGAATGACTGTTTGAACTGAGCATTATAAAGAAAAATAGGAAGGAGGAAGTTTCATAGCATGTTCTAAAGTTATAATTGAAATTATATGTTATGACAGCAATATTGATAAATAAAAGCAGATGAACTTACTATACACTTTTAGGGCAACATACTTTTGCAAGTTCTCTTATCCGGATTAAGAGTAAATCCTTGCTTGCATTGGCAAAAATAGGATTCATCTGTATTGACACATTCCTGCTGACAGCCATGATTTTTCAAAGCACAATGGTCTGGTCCTGGAGATTGAAAGTAAACTCTTAGATGAACAATAATGGAAAGTACCATATATATAGAATGGAATGAAGATTAGCACCTTAGTTTTAGTGAGCACTTTTTATCTTTGGAGATTTGGAGGTAAAACATTTTCTTCATATAAAAATTACATAATATAAAATTTGCAGGCATTCCTAGAAACACAGGAATGTGTTGATTCATTCCCACCCACCCCAGCCGCATACTCCAACCATCAGGGGTGGGATTCAAAATTTTTAACAACCGGTTCTGTGGGCATGGCTTAGTTGGTGGGCGTGGCTTGGTGGTCATGTGACTGGGTGGACATGGCTTGGTGGTCATGTTATTGGCTGGGTGTGGCCAACTAAATATCACTCACATCGAGGCACGCATCTCCTCTCCTGGCCTCTCATGGCTGTGGGGATGCTGCAACAGTCGTAAGTGTGAAAAATGGTCATAAGCCACTTTTTTCAGTGCCATTGTAACTTTGAATGGTCACTCCACACAAGCAAAGTACCAGCAAAGGAGAGGAAAAAAACTCCAGAGAAGTTCCTGAGACAGGAAGTCTAGTCCTGACAAGAATGTAATAAGGGTTAACGGAGATACAGTTTCTGTAAGCAACACCAGAATGTTTCCTTCCTGCCTTCCTTACAGGATTAGGCCAGTAATTTCTTCTAACAACCGATTCTCTGAACTGCTTAGAATGTTAACAACCGGTTCTAGTGAATAGATGCGAATTGGTAGAATCCCATCCCTGCCAACCATGCCTCAACATTTTTTAAGGGGTATCTTATTCAAAAACTGACACTTCAGCAATTTATGGTGTATTGATCACATTGTAAAGTAATGTAGATATGGGCTTATGGATTTACTGCATGTCATCTCATTGACCATCACTCTGTCTGCTCTTTGTCTAAGAAATATTGAGTCAAATCGTTTTGTCTTTTCCTCAAAGCAACAAACGCTCTTTGAATCTCATTCTGATAAGATGTTGCTCGTTGACACTAGTTTTTTTTCTATTCCTATATTTTTTTCTGTAATTAAGTCTCCTTTCTATTACATGTATAAAACTTCTTTAATATTTGCTCAGGTTATTTTCATTCTCAGGAACATGCACTCACAACTTCAACCCCTAACTAAAATGGCTATTTCCCTCTTTTCCTGAGACACATTTCACTGTACGAATATTCTCCACACCTCAATAACAAGTCTGGAGTTTAATGTTCTGAGTTAGGGATCTTCCCAGGTCTTATTAGTTGCTTAGGTCCCCCTATTGGCATGTCTGTGTCCTTCCAGTTGCTGGCACTGCCCTCATAGCCTTCAGGACTCAGGATTATCAATTTCCTGACACTCAGGTGTATCCTCCTGAGGTTTATCCTGAGGAGTACGCTCCTTAGTGTCAGAAGTATCAATCTTTGTTCTCTTGATGAGCATTGCTCTGTACATCTATTTTGGACACCTGATATTTTTCTTCTTGCTAAATCAACAGTGAATTAGAATTTACTCTGCAAAAAGTATTTCCTAAGATAGGGTACCTGAAATGCTTTTTGTTAGAGATGTTATGGGGTGAATTTTCTGCATACAAAGGAAATACTGTCTAATCTCCTTGCTTTGTATGCTAGATGGTACATATAACATTTTTGTCAGAATGGTCAAACAAATGGCAACTTCAAATCTCAACGAACAAATGCTGTGTCTTACATATTGGCAAAAAAAAAATAAAAAAATAAAAACAAGCTGAATAGTCAAGACCTTGTTGATGACCTCAATTATGTCAAGGACCTTGGAGTACTCATCTCTAATGATCTGCTAGAGCCCACTGTAACTACATAGCCAAAAAAGCGTAAAGAGTTGTTAACCTAATCTTACGTAGCTTTTCTCTGGTAATATTACACTAATAACTAGAGCATACAAAACATTTGCTAGACCAATACTCGAATACAGCTCATCAGTCTGGAACCCACATTACGTATCTGATATTAACACAGTTGAGAAAGTCCAGAAATATTTCACAAGAAGAGTTCTCCACTACTCTACTCGTTGCAGAATACCTTATGCCACCAGACTCAAAATTCTAGACCTAGAAAACCTAGAACTACACCACCTTCGGTCCGATCTAAGTATAGTATATAAAATCATACATTGCAATGTCCTACCTGTCAATGAATACTTCAGCTTCAACCATAACAACACAAGAGCAAACAATAGATACAAACTCAAGGTTAATCGCACCAAACTTAATTGCAGGAAATACGACTTCAGCAACAGAATGGTCAATGTCTGGAATACTCTACCTGACTCTGTGGATTTTTCCCCAAACCCCAAAAACTTTAACCTTAGACTGTCTACTATTGACCTCACCCCTTTCCTAAGAGGTCTGTAGGGGGCGTGCATAAGAGCACCAATGTGCCTACTGTCCCTGTCCTATTGTTTCTTTCATATATTTTTTTTATTTTTCTTATATGTATCCATGTATTCATAACTATGTTTTTACTTATACCTATTATCTTGGAGTACTCATCTCTAATGATCTGCTAGAGCCCACTGTAACAACATAGCCAAAAAGGCATTAAGAGTTGTTAACCTGATCGTGCGTAGCTTTTTCTCCGGTAATATCACACTACTAACTAGAGCATACAAAACACTTGCTAAATCAATACTTGAATACAGCTCATCAGTCTGGAACCCGCATTATGTATCTGATATTAATACAGTTGAGAAAATCCAGAAATATTTCACAAGAAGAGTTCTCCACTCCTCTACTCGTTGTAGAATACCTTATGCCACCAGACTTGAAATTTTAGACCTAGAAAATCTAGAACTATGCCACCTTCAGTCCGATCTAAGTATAGTACATAAAATTATCTACTGTAATGTCCTACCTGTCAATGAATACTTCAGATTCAACCACAACAATACAAGAGCACACAATAGATAAAAACTCAAGGTAAACTGCACCAAACTTAATTGTAGGAAATACGACTTCACCAACAGAGTGGTCAATGTCTGGAATACTCTACCTGACTCTGTGGTTTCTTCCCTAACCCCAAAAACTATTATTGACCTCACCCCTTTCCTAAGAGGTCTGTAGGGGGCATGCATAAACACACCAACGTGCCACCGTCCCTGTCCTATTGTTTCTTTTTATTCATATCTATTTCATGTGTACATAACCATGTTTATACTTATACCTGTTATCTAATACTTGCTTGGCAAATAAATAAATAAATAAAATAAAATAAAAACTTTTGATGTATTAAATAGCAGAATTGAGATGTGGATAACTTACGTTTGCAAGTTTTTTTATCTGGATTTAGAACAAACCCATTATGGCACTGACAATAATAAGAATCTTCAGTATTGATACACTCATGTTGACAGCCTTGGTTATTCACAGCACAATAGTCCTCAACTGAAGCACAAGAAAGATCAAATTTAAGACAAGTTACTTTGATACAGAACGTTAAAATTGAATATATAATATTGATAGTACATTGATACCTATTGTTGACATACCAGCTGAGTTCAATATAAATTTCAGTGGCATAATAAAAAAGCATGGTTTATTTATAAATGTGTCCATATTCCTATATTATTGTCATTATTAAGAGTTGAAACAGCCTATTTCCAAAACATACTCAGGTAAATGCAACTCTTCAACTAAAAGTACAATCTTATACATGTTACCAATCTACAATGGATTGTTTTAAATCAGATGCTGTAACTACAATAAAACTAAGTGTATGTTTGAAGTCCGTACAGTCCAACAAGTTTGCTACTTCTGTTAAAAACAGAAACATGCAACAAGAAAAAAAATGAAGCCATAGATAAGCTCAATACTGGAAGTCTATAAAGGTATATATTCTGTGGTCTGAACTTTGATTTAAAATAATCTTATTGCAATTAATGGAACTGAAATTACTCATTATTAACAAATCGGAATATGACACTACAGAAAAAATAGTGTTAAGTATTAAAGTTCCCCACATCATTTGACAAAACAATGTACAGCACTACTGGTTAAAACACTGCAAGCCTGCATTCGAAATTTGAGTGCTGCTATGCTCAGCTCTTGCCCACTTAGCAGTTCAAAAGCATAACCATGAATAGATAAAATAGGTACAAATTTAGAGAGGGCTATAAAGCATTGTGAAGCAGTATATAAGTTTAAGTGCTATTACTATTAAGAGCCATGATGGCACAGTGGTTAGAATGCGGTACTGCAGGCTAGTTCTGCTGCAGCCAGCTGCCTGTAATTTGGCAGATCGAATCTCACCAGGTTGACTCAGCCTTCCATCCTTCCGAGGTGGGTAAAATGAGGACCCAGATTGTTGGGGGCAATATGCTGACTCTGTAACCACTTAGAGAGGTCTGTACAAAACACTGTGAAGTGGTATATAAGTCTAAGTGCTATTACTATTGCTATTGCTATCCACTGAGTTCCAATCAGTCACCCTGACTCTATCCCAAATTAAGGGATTACAGGGTTAGAAAAAGGAAGGTTTTTTTCCCCTTCCCAATAAATATGTGTATATATCATATTATATGTGCATATATGCATATATGTATTATACCTGCCTCTTAAAAGGAGCAGGGTGGGATAAAAATGTATTCATTGAATGAATAAGTACAGAAACACAGAAGGATACATGATTACATTCCATTCTCTCTCCTCCTACAACTCTCTTTCCAGAAATAGTAGAAAATAACAATAAGAAAATGAGACAAAAGCAAGATAAAGCTATGCTGGGAAAAGCAGAGGGAAAAAAAGGAAGAACAAAGAGTATATGGGGAAGAGGTAGGATTGGCATATCTCCATTATTTTAGCTTCCTATTTTGATTCCTAGTATCATCTCTTCCAATAAAATATTTATTGCAGAAGTTAAATGATCATAAGGAAAGCATGCATCTTTGTATCATTCTTTTTTGGTCTCTGAACTATGCTATTTCATTTTAAGCTATTCTGAAATTGATGAAACATTCAATGACATTCATATAAACCTTTTATATAATACAAAGAACCTATTATGGTAAAGCAAGAAGTCAACATTCTCACCAGAAACTTTGAATGCAGCAAATAATTCAAATGATACAGGATTATATTGGGGCAATAACAGAAATCATCAGCTACTTTGTGAATTAATGCAATTGAAAACAAATACATACTGAAACAATTCTTCCCATCTTCTTCAAGTTCATAGCCATCATAGCATTGGCAGACATAGGATCCGGGTGTATTTACACATATGTGCTCACATTCATGCTTTTCAGTCTCACATAGATCCTGGACTAGAAATGTTATAAAAATTATAAAATATTATTATATGAAGCAAGAAATTGATAGTTATTTGCATTCTGTTTTGGCATTCAAATAGCCAGGAGAGTTTGAGAAAGTATAATTAAAGAATAAGAAACATATAATAATAGTATATAAAATATAAATATAAATCTTTTAGCTTCTGGATTAAATTAGAGCGATAACATTTTATTCAAGAAATGAAACACTGGACATAAACATGTTTTTGTATGTTTTGTTGTACAGAATCCTTTTTATGTCTGCTGGCATACCCTTTGACAATTTCTGTCCATCTGCAGCAAATATTATAATCAGATAATCAGCTGGTTTAAAGCCAAAGTCTTTGTATAAGTTTTTGCTCCATAGCAAGAACTTGGAGGTGTCATTATTATTTATATCTAGAATTACATTGTATAGGCTACTACCAACACTGATCACAAAACCTGATAGCACTTTAGATTTAATTCTCAATTGCTCTGACAAAGCAGTGTCACAGTAGCAATTGTTTTTGTCTTCTGCCTCTACAGGAATGGCTGATTAGTTAAGTTTATATAGGGTTGGCTCTTCAAATGGAAAAAAAATGAAAACAACTTCATTACAAGACTGCATATCACAATTGCACTTCGGTCAACTGACAGAGGTACAGAATACAAATACAGCACAAACATGCAACTACAAAGATTGAGCAGAGGAATTGGAGAAAATCAACTTTAACAAAACAAGGTTACCTAAACATGAAGGTTGCCCCTGCCTTGAAAGTGAAAGGGAAGAAGGGAAGAAAAGGGAAGGGAAGAAACTGGAAAGAAAAGAGTTTCAAAATACAGATGTTACCACAAACTGGGATTGAGTTATTTTTTAAACTGAATGGCAGAACCAAGATTGTTTAAAATATTGAATGTTCATTATAAAGCAAAACAAAATTATAAAATGCTTAAAGCAAAGATGAATAAAAATTGAATAAAATTCTTAGACTTTACTGCTTCAATTGTCAGTCAGCTGCAAAGCCATCTCTAATAATTAGCTGCAAAGCCATCTCTAATAATATTCACTAGGTAAGGATAAGCTTCAGAACATTACTGTTAGAAGAAACTGCAACATTGTATTATCAATATTTAGCATACTGTTCTGTATATAGTTTTATTTATTTACTGCTTTATACTATACAAATCTACTAAACAGGAAACCCTACTGAGTTTGGATTTCATCATAGATAACTGGATTGCAGCCTCAGATTTCAGTATAAGTATAGTTTAATTGGATCCAAGAATGGCGAGAGGAAAGAAAACAGCTGTAGTGCTGTTTTAGAAACGCATGTATAGTTATTTAAACTATAAATTTATAGTTCAGATATATTTATATTTTATATACAATCATCGATGATAGGTATATGAAGTTTAGAATTATATATCAAAATAAATGTGAAATTTAGTCTAAACTCAAAAGTTTTCTTCAGGTATTATTTTGAAAATAATAAATGCTGAAAGGAGCATGAAAATTGGGGAAGAAAGAGAAAAAGAACTGAGTTAAACATTTGCTTACAAAAAAAACTTAATTCAAGACATAACATAAATCTTGCACAATGCTCTAGAATTCACACTGGAGAAAGAATACTGATCTTAAAGCCTCTCTAACACATACTACAACATTTCTGCCAAGTAGTCAATGATGTGGAACAAGAAAAAAGACATGAGATGTATTTTATTAGACATTACTGAAGGAGAACCTTGATGGTTATATCGATTATATACCGAATATGTTTCTGCAATATGTAATTCTGCCCTGTGAAATTTTGTCAATACTTTCAACTTTTAGTGCACACAACAAATATATAAATCTATTGTAATTTCTAAGGTAGGTAATAAAGATTTTCTACCTATAAAAACATATGTAAAAATATGTGTATAAGTAGGGAAATCTGTGACTCTTCCATTGTTGCTGAATGTAAATTCTCATTAGTCCCAATCTATAGTAATAATGAAGACTATAGTTGTTCAGCAACATTTCAAGGGCCACAGAATGCCCAACATTCCATGTTCATCTGTGTTAAATTCTTTGTCAAAGTAGACATCATATGGTACTACTCCATAAAGCTTATAAAACTGATTAGGAGACAATGTCGAATATTTTCTGAACAGAACAGAAAATATGCGTGTTGTTCAAAATCACAGATGGAATCTAATAATTGAAAGCATACGTATTGTAAAAAGGGAAAATGTGTGTGAACATTGTGGTTACAAACTGTTTTATAGTGTGTATATTATATGTGACTAGGTATATTTGCACACCTCTAATCTGCAAGGGATGCAGTCCTTAGGTGAAAATGTTGCATCTCCCCACCATAAATTCTATTTATAAGATAGTAAGCTATAAAAGAAGTAATAAATGAAACTCACCGCTGCAGCTTCTCCGATCTGAGTCCAGAATATATCCATGTTTACATTTACATAAATAAGAGCCAGGGATATTGATGCAGAAATGGTCACAACCATGTTGAGTTATACTACAGATATGCTGGACTGGGGGGGGTGGGGGGAAGCAATACATAAATTAGCACAAAAAGTGACTAAAAAATCCAATTTATGAACACTTAAGAATGTCTCCCCAAAATATCAACAGGACAGAAAATATTCATGTTAAAGTAATAAAACATGCATGAAAACTAATTTTACATGAAAACTTTGTTAATGTATATTGTAAGATTCATAAATCTGTACATTTTAGGCATAATAACTAAGCACTATAATTTCTTAGTGTAGTGGAACTAAGAACTGGGCTACACTTTCAGGAACACAGCAGGATTTGCTTAATTTATTAGAAATGTGTTTCCCAATTCCATGTACTTTTTAATTAAACACCCATGTATGGTTTTTATTCCATTCACGTTGACTTTTCTTCCACTATTTTCTTCCACTATTTTCTTTATAATCCTTTTTCTACAGGTAGTTCTCAATTTACAACCACAACTGGGACCAGAATTTTGGTCACTAAGTGATGCAGTTATAAAGTAAGATATCACCTGACTGTACGTCTTCGCAACTGTAATCCATGCAATCCCCATTGCCATTATTAACTAAGGACCTATCACAATCTAAGCAATTCCAGGCTTGGTCCCTTCCAGACCAAAGCCTCAATAATGTAAGGGATGGCTTCCTTACCTGCCTATTTCCTCCCTGCCTCTTTGTCCACCTTGTACCCTGCCTTGTGAGACAGAAAGCAGCCCTCAAATCAGCACGTCTAACACAGCCTTTTAAGTATATATTTAATACCTTACCACAGATTTTAGTTTGGAACACAGAAGTCAGTGATTCAATTTGGCTGAAGTTTGCAACCAGAAAAACATGTTCCTCATAAGGTTCACTCCCAATTGACTTTAGTGTATTCATATCTACCCTTCCCACTCCAATAGCAAATATTAGGATTCCTGAATTTCGGGTTTTTGCTGCAATTTCTGCAACTGGATCCTGTGGTCTCCCATCTGTCACTATCATGATAACTCTAGGTACATTCTCCCTGAGTGGCCGAGCCCCTTCAGATTCTGAAAATGCAATATTCATTGCATATTGAATAGCTAATCCTGTCATGGTTCCAGTGGCAAGATACATCATCCTTTTCACAGCTCTCTCTACATCCTGTTTCTTCTTAAAAGTCTTCAGTGAAAATTCATTTTTGACTGTGCTGGCATATTGGATTAATCCCACTCTAGTGTTATCAGGACTAATGTCCAAAAACTGCAGGATAGTTAAGATAAATTCTTTCACTTTTTCAAAGTCATAAGGGCGAACACTGCGAGAGCTATCAATGATGAACACAAGGTCAAGACGTTTATTACTGCAAGCATTTTCTGGAATGAGAATAAAACAAGTTAAAATGTATATAATCAGTTTTATAATGCAAAACATCTTCAAAATAAAAGTGTCTAAAAAGTGTAAGAAGTGTTATTTCCAGGTAGAAAATATAAAAATATAAATTTTAGTGTACACAGGATTTCTTCACATTGAACAATATAAGTTAGTATTTTAAAAAATAAATCTAACTAGTGGTATCTGAAGTTAAAGCCACTGATACATATGGATTTGTTTTTAAAAGCAACATTGCACCATCATTTATGTATTTTATGTATGTGTTGTATTTTTAAGAAGTATTAGTCACATATTTCACCTATTTACTGGAAAAAGCCTATCAAGAATTTTCCTAGCCACATCACTGAAGGAGCCAGTTACCTTCTATTTCTTATATAGTGTCCATGGCCTATAGACAGCTTTCTCTTGAACAATACACGATCAAAAAAAAAGGAAAGGAAACAATGCCTTGACATGATATTCCTTTGTTTCTACATTTTAATGTCTGACCTAAATCTGTCATACTTTTTCTCTCATTTTTTTCCCCTTAAAGTTATAATCACCATCATTGTGAATTACTGAGCCTAGCAAGATAAAGGCTTTTATTATTTTAGGTTTTTCTCTTCCTGTATTGATTGGGTTGATATTGGCATAATCGTAATTGTTTTTAAATATGTAGAAAATGAAACACTTTTCATTCTTATTTCAATTTCAACAATAGATCCATTAAAACTTACTTGCTTTTAACTACAATAGCATCATCAGCATATCAAAGGTTGTTTTTTCCTATCAAGTGTAATTAAAATGTATATTTTCCCTAGATCAGCATTTCTCCTGATATGTCCTGTGTGTAAACTAACAAATGAAGATATAATACATAATCTTGATGTCTATAGAGATTCTTAATCATCTAGGTCATGTTTGTAATATACAGCCAGGATACCCTCTTTTTTAAAATTCTGCACTATTTAGCTATTCTACTCTTAACTGTTGCATCTTGGTTGTCATATAACCAACTGGTCCAGTATATTTAAGACTAGCCTCAATCTGTAGAATTGACAAAATCTGCATTGACAAAAGTAGTACAGGTAGTCTTCAACTTATGACTGTTCCCTTAACAATGGTTTAAATTAACAATGGTGTTGGAAAGGCTGCTTTATGGCATATAAAGCACTTCTGACCATCACAAAGCATTGTTCACTCCCTCTCCTGATTGTCATGTAATTGTGATCTGGCTGCCTGGCAACTTGCTTTCACTTAGTTTTTTTATCAAGCACTGCAATCATGTGATCACCATTTGCAATCTTCTGTCCTGGTTTCCCAAGAAGTCCATAAGGAGCCAGCAAGGAAGGTGCAAACTGTTGCATCTGCCAGTTCCCTCTCATTTTTGGAAATTGGCTGAAAGAGCTCCTTACTAAAAGACTTCAACTCTGAAGTAGGCATGGCCTGAAATCCTTCAGCAGGGAGCTTTTTCAGTCAGCTCCCAGAGATTAGGAAGCTGAAATCCAAGCAGGTTTTTCAGCCCCTCAGCAAAGAGGCAGCATAGTAAGATAAGCAGCATGGAATACCTGACGGGGGAGGTCCTCAGAGGCCTGATACAAACTACGCACTTGGGACTGAAAATCCCTTTTGGATTTTGACAGGAAGGATTTCCATGTCCTGAATGGAGAGGCAAGTAAGGAGCACAAAGTGCCTCAGGAGAGTAGAAGAGCCCCTAGGAGCCCTGGCATAGACCATGCACCAATGTCTCTTTGTTCAGAGACTGAACATTCTGCTTGGATTTCAGCAGGGATGATTTTCAGCTCCTGAGCAAAGAGCTCCTGAGCAAAGAGCTACTCTTAGGTGGCCTATGCCGGGTCTCCCAGGCTCTTGCCTCTTCTTGCATTCTTTATCTGTTACATTCTGCTTTTCTTCAGCTATTTTTAATTTTTCATTAAAGCACCATTTCATTTTATGTTGTGTTTTGTATGTTTGTGTGTTTGGATACTTTGTTCACTTCATCTTGTCATGAATTTCAATTTTCCACCAGACATTCACTTCAATTCAGTTTTCCAGTTTTCTATATTTATCAAATCTAACCAATTAAATATATTATTTACCTTCTATAATTATATGAAATATATTGTTAGTTGTGATGATTTTGCTTTTCTTAGTTGTAATTGTAATTCTACAAGAAGGAATTTGCAATCAATTTATCTTTTGCTGAGTGAATATAGTTTCTTCAGCTTTGTTTAGTCAATCTTAGATTGGTTTGGTGTTACCCATCTGATGATGTCCATGCATAGTTACTCTTTAAATGGCTGGGGAAAATATTGACTATAAACACTGCATTTTCTTGGCAGGACTGTATTAAATTGCCTCCTACTTAATTTCATATATAAGGCCAACATTTCCAATCACTCTAGTCTACATTACAAATTGCCACAGAATTATTAATTTCTGCTTTGTCTGCATTTGTGATTGGAGCATAAATCATAAGGTTTGATTACTCCATTTCTTCTATGATTTCTTGTCTACAGTAGAAGATCTGATATGACGTGTCATCTTTCAGTTCATTTTAATTCATAATACACAGAATGACAATATACATTCTTGATATTTCCACTCTATCATCCTTACATTTCCATTACTTTGATTCATTATATAAATGATGTGAATTATCACAATGACATATTACTATAAAATTAATAATATCTGCTTCATTGTTTTAGATACAGATCTATTATTTCACAGGGACATCTGATAGAATTTTGATCCATTTCATTTGAGGTTCACTACAAATGGATACATTAAATCTAGATTTCAAAAGGAAAAATTGGGTGAAGGAGGAAAAAATAGTGTATATGTTGTAACTTGGAGGCCAAACCTCTACTGGGAATCAAGCATTTACGATACATAAGCAATGGAAAGAAAAATTATGCATTATGTCATACAGTTAAGTTTCCAACAGAGAATTGTTATCCTAGTTTACTCCAAGAAATAACTTTAGAAAATTGGAAACAATGTATGATTAAAATGAGGGATAAAATAGTTAGTGTAATTTAATGAAATGTTTATGAATAAAATAAGTGAAATAAAATAAATGAGAAAATTGAATTAGGAAGGAACGGGAACATTTTAATTAGTTAATGATTTATAAAATATAAGTGAAGGGGGGGGGAATTAACTATGGAAAGCTTATAATTGTTCCCATAGAAGTATTTAATTGAATTGAAAAGTACTGTTAAAGATGTTAAGACTTTAATGAATATTAATATTAATGATAGAATTGAATTGGAATGGAATGTTATTTTAATTATATACATTTATAATTTTTTTTAAGAATACAGTGTGTATTTTAAGAATGTACCAAGCAGAATCTGAATGGAAGTTATGTATTATATTGAATGTTACAACTTTAGGGAAAAGATATAAAGGCGTCATACTCCAATCAGTAACTACAGGAGAAATTTTGTTTAATGAGAAAAGATAATAATAATTGAAACAGGACAATAATTGAAACAGGACAGACAAAAAATATAAATACAATGATTTGAATTGAGATGAGATAATTAAAATAAAATTGAGAAAATTAAGAGGGGAGAAGCTATGCAGAAAATGTAAAATAGTAATAATATATGGAATAGAATATAAAAATGAGCATGAACCTGAATTTGTGTCTGTACGAAGAAATGTAACCCGGGATTTACGCTACTTTCAAAAAAGATGTTTTATTTGTATTTTTTTTCTCTTTGTGAAAACTCAAATAAAATTTACAAAAAAAACAACAAGTCACCAATTCAATAAAATATTTAACTTCCCTTTCATTTGCTATTCCTTTTTCCATTGAAATCAGTTATTCCACACACACCCCAAATCCCTATGCCTCTCATCTGCAAAGATTAGGAAGATTAAACTATACACATTTCTTTGCTTTATAAACTCATGGCAACTTACCAAGAAAAGTAGCATCATTTCTTTGACTTAAAGGTACTTTTGGAAGCTGTCGCTCCCTGGCTGTAACAGGAAATAGTCCAACCAGCAAAAGGAAATATAAAATCATTCTTTTCATTTTCAAGAATAGGAAAGAATGTAGCAATGGGTATAATCAGGGCAGAACTCTGTAACAAGATGAAGAAATTATGAACTTTTTCACCAAACCACTGATGCTGAAGAAAAAAATAAACTTTGCTTCTCATTGTCTTTTAACATATATCCCTTAAAAGTATTTTTTAAAAAATACTTTTTACAGATATTTGTGGACTCTGATCCTTTCACATCCCATTCATATATGTGCTCATTTGATCTCATTAAGAGATCCATTCTTGAGCACTAAGTGTATTCTGGAGACAACACTTAATATATATCAGAAAATATACAAAAAAAAAAAACCATTTTTGGGCTCTTCATACATTGTGAGGCTGATTGGAATCACTGAAAAAAAGTACTCAGTATCAGGCATTAATCAGGTTTTAATATTAGATAAGGCAGCAATAAATGCCATTGTTTCCATATGAGAGGCAAAAACTTTTTGGAGAATCATGTCCTTATTCCTGCTATGAAGATTTTTAAGTGAAATAAATGATTCTTCTTAAATGAGATGAGTGATACAAGGCTGTGGGAATGAGTACTGTAAGTGGAAATAGTTGAACAGTGCCAAGATCCCTTGAGGATAGTCTGGCAAGACTATATGCTGGAGGATGAAGAAAGACAATTCAAAGCTATAGTTTTAAAGGACAGGGCAGCAAAGGAAGAGCCCCCCCCCCCCCCCCCCAATATATATATACATATATTTATTTATCTCCCTATATATATATATATATATATATACTACCCACTCTTCATTTGTCCCCTCTCGGCTTTGAATCTCCTATATTAAAGTTTCATACAACGAGTTCCACTCCTGCTCCGCTTCAGCAATAATACTCCTTGCCATTCCTTTCCTCTTGAACCATTTCCCCCCCCTCTTGGCATTTCCTCTCTTCTCTAAGCAGGTTTGATTTAAGGTATTGCGTGGTGGGGGGACGGGACTGGCCAGTGACCCAATAAAACCTTTCTCCCTTCAGTTTAGGATTCATTTCGGGGTCTGGTTTGCCGCCTCCCCTACGCCGGGGTAACTAGCCGGATTTTTTTCTGTCACAGGCAGCGGACCCTTTCTCCAACCGCCATAAGTGCCCCTTCAGGCCAGCGGGAATAACATTTGCAGGGAAACTAAGTCCCAGCGCAAAGCAACGCTTTAACTCCCTCAGATCGAGAAGGCGCCCGGGGCGAATAGGAGTTGGCGCCAAAACATCTTTTCCCCCCGACTCTTCGCGCGCGTGCGCCTCTCTTACCTGCCGCGCCAGGTGGGTCCGGCTCCCGAGGTGAGGCGACGGCGAGTCGATATGCGGCCCGGCTGACGACGCCTGCAAAGCCGGCGGCGCAATTCCTTCCCCGTCTCATCCGAAGAGAGGCGCCGAGCCCTCGTCTATCTGCGTGAAGGGGAGGAGAGACAGCCGGAGGTCAAGCCCCGCTGAGCCGGGAGGCTCTGCGGAAGGGTAGCGCCGTTACCTCAGGGAGCTGGAAAACGGGAGCAGAAGCAACTCCAGAACTGCGCGGCCTGGTATCCCTGCCTCTTTTTTTATGTCCCGGCGGAGACATAAAAAGAATTTACAGCCTATTCGACTCCTTTTTTAATTATTATTTAGGCTTCTCGGTTTCTGCTGAGGCTGTCGGTTGTAATCGAAGGGACGTTTTGTCCCCTGCTCCTAGGCTACGATCCCGCAATGCTAAGCCTTCTCTTGTTTATTTACTTCGTCTTCTTCAGAAAAATAATATCCAGGCTTTTCTTCAAGAGGAAACCAAGATTACTGGCAACCATGAAATACCAAGTGATATGAGATCTATGATTCTTTTGGGGTGGGGTAGGAAGGGCAGGACTAAAGAAAAACCAGACATTAAACCAGAGATATTCGGCTGCTCTGGGGATATACCTCAGAGGAAGAAACATTTCTCAACTCAAAGCAAAGACAGTGCAGGGATCCCCTGGATCTTGAATGGAAAGGGGAGGCTGCCACCACAAAGGCCTTGCTTCTTGATCCTTATCTCCCTCCTCATATCTGAGGGACCTGGAAGAGGCTGCCAATTTGGTCAAAGAATCTAGGAAGAACATACTGAAGAAAGTGATCCTTGAGATGCCAACCTCCCAAATCTATTATGTTTATTGTAGTTGCCTATGTTCTATTGTTGGCAAGTACTTTGGCTATCTCAAAGGAAATATATTTATTTTAAGTGGTCAACCATTTTGGGGGGGAAAAAAGTAAAGCCATTTCTTCATTTTCTACTTTATTTATTCAGGTGCTTATAGGGTGTGACAGTTCAGTCTCAGCCTCTTGGTGTTTTATAGCAGCACTCTTAAGGAATTTCCCTTTGGAACATGTGTATAAACAACATAGCCTTCTTTCAACACAATAGCTATAATCTTGAGTTGTTTCTATTTTACATTACAATTAACATTAGTCTTAAATCCACGCAGGATTCTTTTTTCCGTTACTTTTTTCTTCCCTGCTTCCCAATCTGTTGATTAGCAAAATAGATTACTCACTTTTTCTGTCCTCATGTTATAACTGCAGAAGATAAGACCAATGTCACAGTCTACCCCCCTTGATCTCTGTGGTCACTGTTGTTGATATCATCTCCACTTCCATTAGGAAAATACTTTCCTCTATTTTGGGCAAGGCACTACTAGAAGAAAATATTACAGGAGGCACCACTGGCCTAATGGAGCCTCTCGGACTGGATAAGTGGTCATGCTTCTTGAAGTAGCATTTTCCAAGTGAGAACATGTTATAAGAGTGATGGAAATATCTACAGATTTCCTCTTTTCTCCTTTATTTTGCTCCCTTTATCCCTAATACTGATTTAGTTCTTACATGCTAGTTCTGGAGTGCAGTTACAGATTTTTTCTAATTTTTGGGGCCAAGGATACTTCACTGAATTGGATAGAAGATTCCTGTCTGTAAAAACTAGGCATCTAGATTCTAGAACATAAGAAATATATTAACTGTGTAATTCCAAATATTTTCCTTGTCAATTATGAAACTATTACAAGATTGCTTCTTGTCTCTCAATAGACATTTAAGCATTTCCACAAATGAGGATTATATTGATTTTTTCTGCTCCAACCATTCAGATGAAAAATAGTTTATTTTATTACATATATATTACATTGAAGATTTGTAACACTTGAGAGTTATAACTAATTTAGTTGTTAAAACTCAAGCATTGCTAGTCTTCAATGATCCTGGGTTAACTAAATAACTTTGTTTCATGGATTTTAATACAATAGATTTAGTACTAGTATCTACATTTCCTATTTGTAACCTTGAGTTACTAATATGTTAAATATGTTCCAGTTTTGAAATGGATATGTGGATTTTCACACACATTGAGACATTAATATTAAACTAAGATTACATATGCTTGCATACAGTTCCTTGTCAGGAATGTTATAGTTCTGAACTTGATACCAATATTGTTTAGAAAATAGTCATCTCGGTATGGATATATATGTATATATAGTTTTGTGGGTCATATTTGATAAATTGGATCACACTGGGATTACTTTGTACAAACAGCACTTCCCGTTTAGGAGCATCTTCAAAATACTATCTTGTCCTAGACAATATATTAGAAAGCTTTAAAACATGACCCTTTATAATGTAATGGAATATAGGTTAGAAGTTCATAGAACTATTGTGTGAAGCATTTCTGGTTCACTGATTAAATGTTGGTGTGATTATTTTAATAAATATAAATTTTAAAAATGGTGATTTGTAAGTTAGATTGTCTCCTTGTGATCCTGTATTTTATCTTGGTTTTTTTTTTTATGAAAAACAGTTCTGCTAAAGTCTAACACTTTTTAGTGAATAAATGTTAGTAATATAAATGATAATGTATTTCCTGTCTTTTCTTAACATTTTGTGTAGGTAGAGCTGTGGCTGCAACAAACAAGCTTTTTGTATTGAAGCCAACTGGTTCATAATTACTATATTCTACAATAATTACTAATACAATTTATCAGTAAGAAAGAAGAAAATAGTAGCAACTGCATTCATTAAATAAAAGAGAAATGGAATTTATAATATTTATAAAAATATATAAAAAATATTAAGATTAAGGAAACTTTAAAATGGCATGCTTAATCAAGCCAGTTAATCAGAGGTAGAATTTTGTGTGAACTCATGAACTTACTAACCCAGTCAATGAACCAGAAGTGTTGTTACTTCCATCTTATGACCTCATTTTTTTCTCTAGGATTTTTTCTGAGTAACTGCATCTTTGAGTTTGAAGCTCATGTCATCAGTCACAGTATTAAGTTCACTATGTCTTTTGTTAGCCTCTTTTTTTCTAAACATCAGGGTATCCTCCATTTTAATGTTTTCATTTGTACCTTCACTTTCTTTTTTTTAAAATACATTTTATTGATTTTACAATTAAAAGAGACCAACAACACATACATAAATTTAAGAGAGAAAAAGAAAAGAAGAAAATACAAAGAAAAAGATAGAAAACAATTAAAAACATTTTCATCTTCAACAGTTTGAGACCTCCTTTTTATCCTTATTTTATGCCATATACACACTTAATCCTTACATATATCTGTATATCACTACTACGATTCACCTTCACTTTCAAGTATGTATTCAACGTCACAAGATTTGAACCACCTTTATTCATATTTATTATATCATAAACAATGTCTCTATTTTTCTTACTTTTCCTTTGTTTAACACTCTATCATTTATCCTTCTTTAAATTCCAAGTTACATATGCCTTGACTGTCATCACATGATAGACCTTCACTTGTATGTATTTAATAAAATTATTTTTAAGAAGTGGGTACAAGTCTTGGCTGAATCAATCAGGTTCCCATGTTCCAGAACAGGCTAAATGTTGGTTTTTGTCTGAGGAAAGTTGAGGTAGTAGTATATTAATCAGCTAGGAAATAATGTTTTCTTTACTTCATAGAGTAAATACATATAGGAAATAAATGGAATTAGTCCATACATACAACCCACAGCTATTTAAAGGAAGGATAGAATTATACAATGAAGTAATTCAGAGTAAGACTTCCCAACTTTTAATAGCCTGCCAAATATACAAATACGCATCCAAGGAAAACAACAGTTGAAATGAGAAGGCTGGGTTGGAAATAATGCCAAGAATAATCCACAGTAATGTAGATATGAACTTGTTTAATACAAGGGATAAAAAGAAAGCCGTTAATTTGTTACAATACTAGGTTATAGAACATCAAAAGAATATTATGAGAGAACTAGATAATATGCCTTCTTAAGTTGAACTGGAATATCAAATTCTAGTATGTGGCAACAGCGATAGGTTTTACACTGTTCTCAATATATCTGTGCAGGCCAAGTTAGATACTTTATTTTTAAAAGAAGGATTTATCATATATTGCTCTGTGGGTAATATGGTAAACATCCGAACTGACAATATCTTTACAGTATTAGGTCCACATTTATGACTGTACTGCAAACTATGCAAGATAATTACAAAATAGTAGCTTTCAAAAAATGCAATGCATACAGTGCATTATTGTGTTTAAAACATAACCATGAAGCATACTTTCCTACATAGCATTATTAAATACAGAACAGAGTTTAGAAAGGTTTTTCTTTTCCCCAATCTATTGCACTATAATTGCAGGTTTCAATTACTGCGAGGTTTTTAAAGATTCTTAACTGTCTGTGAATGTACCATACGTGACCATTGGCTATAGCTAATGCTCTGCCTGCAAATTCTTTCCTCTCTCAGTTTGAGAAAAAAACAAACAGTTGGCTTTTAAACCAAACTAATTTGTTCCCTAGCTTTGCTTTCAGGAGCAGCCTAAATTGTGACTAGATTGGGGGGAAAAGACCCCCCCACACACACTCAAGGTAGTATTCAATACAGGCCGCCATCTTAACCTTTTTTCACACCTCCCTCCTCTGAACAACTTGGTCGCCATTCCTGAAATCAATATTCATTGCAATGGAAATGGAAAAGGGAAAGAAATAATGAAAGAAATAAAAAATCTACATACCGGTAAACATAAGAATTGACTTTACATTTGTATGCCATCTAGGAGCCAATTTAATGTATGGGACAATTTTATCTCATTTACATTAACAATCCCACTCTGAGATTGGCTGCAAATCACCCTCTCTCAGGTCACTCACTCATTGGCTGAGAGTTGAGTAGATCTTAAACTCAAATATTTCTGATCTGATACTTGAACCAATAATGGCATTTATTGAAAAAAATGTTGTAAGTCATACAAAGTTATGAGGAAATAATCCTTTTATTAGAGATCGTTTTACCACAAGTTTTGAATGAAAAGTATGTATAGCTGTTTTTCATACAGATGAATAAAAATTTCACAAATTAAAAACAGTAAACCAACATGAACCCTTAGCATAATAATCCAGACCAGGTAAACTGAAACTAATAGAAATTCAGATTGATTGTAAGGACTAATCCAATGTAAAAGCGACTTGCATAACAAGATAAAAACTTATGTGGGAATTCCTTGTCAGTGCATTGATTTAGCAAGGAAGACTGACTTCATTGCCTAAGCAGCAAATCAGTACATAGTAAGAACTGCACTAGAGGTAGGGGTGTCTATCTGTTTTTCCCTTTACATCAGGGGTGCCAAACTTGTGGCCTGTGGACCAGATGCATCATGTGCTGATCATGCCCATCCTCAGTTTAGCAAAGGGGCAAAAGTTGTGATAAGTCCCGTGATGACAATGTGTCATCGCAAGTTTGACACCCTTGCTTTACATCATTCCAGGAGGAAAAAACCGATTTGTTTCCAATTCCAGTTCCACTTCACTACTTTCATTACCCTCAATCTTGTTTTTCAGTTCTACAAACATTTCAAAAACTTTAGGGGGGAAATGGGAGTTTATGTGAATGTAACCAGGACTGAACCCTTGATTCATTGCACTTAAGACATGTGTTCTGTCAATAGGCTAATAATCTTCAACAGCTGGGCTGTTACTCATATGTAATCTGCTTTAAACATTGGCCAAATAGAGAAGTGTGGAACAAATGTCCCTAGTTTCTTCATAGTCTTTTTTTTTTTTTTTTAGTTTATGCATTGCGGTAACCCACATATAACTTTCTTAATGTTGTCATCTGCACAAACCCAGCCAGCTGTGGTTCATTTAAGCAAGCTATGGCTTCATGTAATGCATGATTCATTTAAAAAGTGAGAGGGATTCCATTTTTAAAGGAATAAAAAATGAACAATTTTAATTGATTTATACAGGTGAAACTCGAAAAATTAGAATATCATGCAAAAGTTCATTTATTTCAGTAATGCAACTTAAAAGGTGAAACTAATATATGAGATAGACTCATTACATGCAAAGCAAGATAGTTCAAGCTGTGATTTGTCATAATTGTAATGATTATGGCTTACAGCTCATAAACCCCAAATCCACAATCTCAGAAAATTAGAATATTACATGCAATCAATAAAACAAGGATTGTACATAGAACAATATCGGACCTCTGATAAGCATGCATATGTACTCAGTAGTTGGTATGGGCCCCTTTTGCAGCAATTACTGCCTCAATGCGGTGTGGCATGGAAGCTATCAGCCTGTGGCACTGCTGAGGTGTTATGGAAGACCAGGATGTTTCCATAGTGGCCTTCAGCTCTTCTGCATTGTTTGGTCTCATGTCTCTCATCTTTCTCTTGGCAATGCCCTATAGATTCTCTATGGGGTTCAGGTCAGGTGAGTTTGCTGGCCAATCAAGCACAGTAAACCCACGGTCATTGAACCAGGTTTTGGTGTTTTTGGCAGTGTGGGCAGGTGCCAAGTCCTGCTGGAAAATGAAGTCAGCATCCCCATAAAGCTTGTCTGCGGAAGGAAGCATGAAGTGCTCCAAAATCTCCTGGTAGACAGCTGTGTTGACCCTGGACTTAATGAAGCACA